ATTGCATGGCTCTTTCCAGGTAGACGATTTCAGATTCATTTAGACACGATCTAATCGATTTGATTTACATTTTTAGATATAGGATATTGCCAAGTAAGAGCTCTCGTCTTTTCTTTTTTTGTAGTTTTTGATTTATTTATGTAGGGAATGGGTGTGATTTGCGCGACGTTACTATTATTTTTCGAAGAGGAAGATGCATTTTGGATGATGTGTGCGATCGTTGAAGATCTCTTACCAGGTCAATATTATTCCGCATCGTTATTCGGTGTTCAAGTCGATATACGTGTATTTCGTTATTTGATTCAACAATATCTTCCAAGTATCCATGATTTGTTTAACGAACATGACATCGATTTAACATTAATCTGTTTTCAATGGTTTTTAACACTTTATTCTAATGTATTTCATACGAAATTTCTTTGTCACTTGTGGGATTACTTTTTTCTTTATGGTTCAACGATTCTGTTTCAAATTGGTTTAATTATGTTGAAACAATATGAAAATCTTCTTGTCGAAACAAATAACAGTGCACAGATATTCAATTTTCTATGTGAATTACCTCAACTATTTGAAGATGAATATGGAAATAACGAGCAAATCTTTAAAGATTTACCCACATTGTTCAATTTAACATCGACAATCATCGAATCGCATCGTAAGAAATATCTGGCTGAGCTGATGTCCCAAGAAGGTTTTACCATTAATCCCAAGATGAATTTGATCAATCTACCGAAAGATATTCTTCAACGTCGTCCAAATGCGAAAACTTCTTCAGTAAATAGATTCTCTTTTATGAGAAAATTTCAGTCAAACTCGACTCATGATCAAGCTTTAATCGAACGGAATATCACTCAAACAGAGATGCTTGTCAATCTACGTGAAGCGATACTGAAAATCGCAAAACATTTCAAAGACAACGATCCGGATGGTTATAATCAAGAAAATACTGATCTGAATGTCGATTATTCCATTGAATCTCATGTTAAAGACCATGAACGTTATGCGAATATATCTTTACAGAAATGTAAACGTGCGAAGACTCTGGTTGATTTTGAATGTCAAGATTCGAATGAACTTGGATTTAAGAAGAATGACATCTTGAAAATTTTATCTATGTCTGACGAACATTGTTGGATTGGAGAACTGAATGGCAAACACGGATGGTTTCCAGCTAAATTCGTTCAATTAGTTGATGAAAGATCGAAATTGTATTCCTTAGCTGGTGATGATAGTGCTGACGAAAACATTTCTGATCTTGTTCGAGGCAAATTAGCGTCATGTATCAAGTCAATCTTCGAACATGGACTACGGAAAACGCCGCTTATACTTGGTAAGAACTTCAACGTTTTTTACTCTATCGACATTCTGGATTTGTTTCAGGTGGTGTTTGCCATCCGTGGTTGTTCATCGAAGAAGCTGCCTTGCACGCAATCAACAAAGATTTCGACAGCGTCTATGCTCGTCTTATCCTTTGCAAAACATATCGTTTAGACGAAGATGGACGAATCTTAACACCTGAAGAACTTCTATGTCGCTGTATTCGCTCAATCAATTACACACACAATCTTGCTCATGCACAAATGGATGTCAAACTACGCTCATTTATATGTGTAGGTCTGAACGAGCAAGTCTTACATCTATGGTTGGAAACCTTATGTTCATGTACAGAAATAATTAATAAATGGTATTTACCGTGGTCATTTTTACGTTCGCCCTGTTGGGTAAGATGAAAGGAGGAGAACAGATTGTTTCATTGATTTGTTATTTAGGTGCAAATCAAATGTGATTTGAGAGTCTTGCAACAGTTTTCCTTTGCACTTCGGCAAGATTATGAATTACCTGCTGCTTATCGGCAATTGGATGTTTTATCAAGTGTTCGTGATATGTTAATGAAGCATCATCTATTCAGTTGGGATCTTTAAAGTGAAAAGAAGAAGAAGAAGAAGGAGATATGTATGTTTTGATGTTGTTATGTAGTTTTATTTATTAGAAATTATTTTCGGAACGAATACGTTTTGTTGTTATTGTATTTTATGTTGTAAAAAAGGCGAAAAAAAAGAAAATCTGCATTTTATTTACCTAAAATTCTGACAGATTATTTCTGCCAAATTCGAATGTTCATCGGTCGAAGTTCGGCACTTGCTTTCGGCCGTTGTTGTAACATTTGACAGAGTTGGACATGTATCAACATGGATACAAGATCATTTAGTAGAATATCCAGACTAAAGAGAAGTCGAAATTCATCGAGAAACGATTGGATTGTATCCGATAAGGAATTATTATTTTGTAAAAACAGCGATAAACATGTCAATGATGGTTTGAAAAAGTCGATGAATAGTTTCTGATCAGCAGCTGGAAGGTAATCATCCCGTAGAGTGAGAATACGTATGGGTAAGGGCGATTGTAGTTTCTCTTCTTTAATTAAACGTAGTAAATAATGACAGGATATATCCAGATTGGATATATTAGGTGCACTTTGTTGTAAAAGATAGCAAAGAAGTGTGTCGTCGAAATGACATGGTGATGGTAGGATTAATTTGTTCAGTTTGGACAAAAATATGGATTTGTTTAGATAGGAGATGATCGAAATCGTCGGAATCATTCGTGAATGGGTCAATTGAGATAATTCGAGTGAATCTACGCTGGGAAAGAACCGTGTGACCAATGGCCAGTTGGCTGTCATGTTCAGTTTCAAATGTTGGACATTTCCGTAGAGATTATCGATAGGTAAAACTGGAGACGACACGAAACTATCAGTTGTGATAGACAATTCCGCTGATATTTCCATTGGTACGGAATAAATGTGAAAACAGTTGGAATGAACACGTGATTCGCAAACAATATTCCAGTTCTTTGAAAGATAAAACGCGTTTTGAAACGATCCGGTGATTTCGCAGATGTCCGTAGAATGTGTGTTGAGGAGATGCAAATCGAGTTGAAATTCTTCTAATAACGGTAGTTGTTCAATGAAGGCTTGACAACGATAACCATCCACGACCGGGATTTTCCGGCAATCGATTTCATTTGAATAGAATAATTGTCGAAGTTGCAAGAGATTTAGAAAGAAATGCTCACATAAATCATGTGGAACACGTGAACTGCGCAGTTTCAAGATTGTTAATAGTGGAAGATGGACTTGACTCAAATCAATGTCTGTGCCGGTTAATGTTACGTCAAGATAATGCAAGTTTGGAAAAAACGTCGAAAAGCCGATTAAATCAAGAAAATTCAATTTTTTCAGAGTTAGATTTTCGATTCGATTGTATTGAGAACGGAACTGTATCGAATGGTCAGATTGAATTGTTAGGGTCACTAATTCATCCATTTCATCAATAAGTATAACACGACCATTGTCATCACATTCCGGATTGTCTAAGATTAAATGTTTTAGCTGAGTAGATCTTGTTGGAAACAAAATGTGATATTCGTCTAATGCAGGTTGAATCAAATGTAGTTTTCTTAGATGAATCAACTGGTCAAATGATACTTGACTTAGAAAGGAACGTATTTGTCCGAATGTATATTGATTGGATAGAATTAGATGTTGAATTTGGTCAAGAGAATCAAGATGAGATTTGAAATAACGACACATGTATAAGAATTGCGATTTCGTCATGCAACGTAGGTCAACTTTGGATAGATTTATCGAGCGAAGACGAGTTGTGATTAACTCTTCAAAATGCGGCTTGACACACATGATATCATAGAATGAGTAGATCAATTCCGAAAAGTAAAAGTACTCAAATATATCGAGAAGAATTTCTTCGGGAAATTTCAACAAAGACATCGTTCTTCAGCTTACAACGCAAAATGAAAATCGAAATACTTTTTCTTCGTCTTATCTTTTGAATGATAACATTTCTTTTTCACCATCCGATAACAAAACAACGTATGAGCACAGAAATATTAAACGAGGTCAAATGAATCATTTGAAAGCGTTCTCTGAGTTTAATACAAAGACTTCATCGAATAGCATGCATATTTATCAGTTGACAATCAAACCAAGGTGAATCTCCTGAGAGAAAATCTAATTTGATTAATTATAATACATGCAAAGTGCAGGAAATTAGATTGTTTTCTTTCTTAATCTAAATGTCAATTGGATTGACGTGTTAACTCTGGAGTATAAGAAGAACTTGCCATCGCATTGGAAACTTTTATGTCAATAATTTCGCGTTCGGATTTCGATGTTATTGTTTGTGAAAACCAATACGGAGATAAGATTACGGAAAATATTTTCGATGCCCCGATGTTACTCGTCGACTACTACGAAGCGAGAAAACGATTTGGAACCTTAATTAGATAACTGATCTTGTACAATATCTCGTATTTGGATAACCTTTTCTAAGAAAGATCATCTCTTCCGAATGACATACATTAATGATTAGCATTCAAGTCGTATTTCTCCATCAATAAATCTTTTCTTTACTTTGATTTACTCGACGAGAGACTAATACATCAAATCAAGTCAATTGATCATTTCTTCTTCTCTCGTCGAGAGAGAGTCTAGCCGATCGAATGTAAACTGCTTAATCAGAATGATCAATATATCGAGATGTTCTATTCGATGCGTACGTCGATGCGCATCATCAACTGGCGATTTTGTTCTATTTTATATGAATGAAAACACGAGAGCTACTCTCTCTCAACTACCACCGGGAACTAGAGCAAAAGAAAACAAGGGACAATTAGAAGCATTATTGTACACACAAAACAAGAACAAGATCAGAGAAAATAAGCCAGATAGGAAGAATGTTGTCAAAACAAAAAGACTAGTATAGAAATTCGTGAATAGCTAGGACCTTGGAGAGGGAAAAAAGAGAGAAAGAATTTGAGCATGTTCACAAAGAAACGAATGAGAAAAGAAAGAAAGAAAGAAAAAATGAAGTGCACATCATTGAATATACAACAGTTCTAAAACGTACTGTAAAAACACACACATGAACGTTTGCTTTTTCTCTGATTGATTTCAATGTATACATTGAGAGATACGAAACAAATCATAGCTGATGCTCGCTCATCGTTACTGGGTGAGTATTGACTGCCATCATGTAACTATAACGGTTAGGATTTGTTATAGTCAAACTGGCTGATTGTCCGTTCTTTTTATACGCAACTGATGATGACGTCCGAGTTGGGATAAGGTGCTGAGGAGAGAACGTTTGTTGATGAATATTATGAACGCCTGAAAAGGCTTCGATAGGTCCTGAATAATTTGAAAAATCTTGTGCATGATTTGGACTTGACGGCTTCACACAGGATGGATCCAGTTGTAATTGTTGAAAATGCCGGCGAAGGCGATCAGCATACGCTTCGTATCGTTTTAACTAGAAGATTTCGAGAACAAATTGAGTAAAATTTCCGAGGATTAAGACTTTCAATTTACTTCGTAGTGATAGTAATCCATTCGAGCTTTATTCTCAATCATGTCTCGTGCTTTCATTGTCACTGGTTGCTGTTGTTTAATATCTCCATTTATATTGATGATATTCTCATTATTAATCGACGCACACGTTTGAGTTTTCAAATCATTCAACTGGCGAGATATTTCATTGATTTGCTTGAGAATATATTCATATTGTTCAAACTGAAATTCCAAGAAAATAGATGCGAGAAATTCTCGGGAAACACTTACAACAGAATAACGTGTTTGAACACTTGGTAGAAGTGGTCGTTGAAAGTGAATCGACGATGAATCGATAGCTGCCGGTAATGGCGGCGAAGAAAATGATGCAGCAATTAAATTAATTGCATCAATCCATTTTCTCATCAATTCATGATCACTTGTTTGAAATAAATATTCAGCCCAATCGGCAGTTTTCAATCGAAATACATGTTGCCGTTTACGATAATCCGTTGCTTCGTAGGCAAGTGCATGATGTAAGCGTATAGCGTTTGTATCACCAACAAGTATTGCTGCAGGATGTTGATCATTCTTTTGTAAATAAAGAACCATGTCGCGTAAACTAGCAAAATGTGCTTTCCAACTACGACGCATAAATGGAGCTAAAATAAGAATGATAATTATTTTTACGAGAGCTTTGAATGTCATTTTGTTACTTACTTCGCTTCCCGTCCGACTCCACACAACACTTTCTCATCACATAACCCTACATTGAAATATCGACGAAATTCACAACAAATCTAATCCCAATCGATCATTTACCTGCATGTATTCAACACTTTTGCTTGTATCAGGAATCTAAACGTTGATCGACGATGTATACGGCAAATATTCGTAAGATATAGATCACTTACTTCTAAAAATGGATTTACACAATTACTATATCCGTGTAGAGTTCCATGTCCGCCTAATCGAACATCATTATAATCATCTGAACCAAGTGCTCTATAAGTACAAAGACAAAAAAGACCCCAAAGGTTAGTGTTTATTATTCTTGTCAACCGATGGAATGTCAGATAGAAGATGCATATGTTTTCTTTAGTAGTAATAATATAATAACAGCCAGTTAGTTTTATTCAGATAAAATAATGATTTATCAGAAAATATGTCGCATGGAATGAATTTCTCTTACCAGCTTACACAACTCAATAGTATCTTCTCGATAGTCGTAGAAGAACAATTAAGAAATTCTTTACTCAAGTCTCAAGAGAAAATGTCAACGAATAAGTTGTGTGTTTGTTTCTATCTTCAGAATCAATCACTTATCTCTACCTGTACGTGTTTGTTTCCTTACTACTGTTTTCGTCCTTAATCTACTAACGTCGTCAAACAAATATTATGTATTTATGTATATCTCGTGCATGTGTCATCTGCTACGTACGTGTGCAAGCCGATGGTTGACGTCTCTATATCTTCTATTTTTTTCATATATATATACACACACACACACAAACGCGTCTGCGGAATGCGACGATAGGCAGATATATGTGGGTATATATACACAAATGACGAATTATCAAGAAAATCCCTCTCTTTCATTGTAAACATTTGTCAAAAACGAATAAAATCTCCGTCACTCCGCGATTATTATCCTATACTGATAATAAACCAAACAAGAAGACAATGCGTTCGATTTAGTTCTCCAGGTCTCCTCATAGATGTGATTAATATCTTTCGAAAAAAATATGTTCAACGAACTATAAAGATGACTAAGACGATGCACTGGACTTACTAATGTTATTATTATTATTATAAGAAGAAGAAGAAGGAAAGCTCGAGAACGAGTAATTTGTTCACTGTAGATGACAAAACATATTTACCGCGTGAACGAAGATACCCCGTTCGAATGACTATGTTACATTCATACGCACGTTCTTCCTATTCATTCTCATACAAACCAGTTTCCGGTGTATGCTAAACAACAATAGACATATTAGAAATTTCACCATACAACGAAGGTTAGAAGCTTTTTTTCCTCTCTCGCTTCGTGGTAAATCATTTTAATTGACGAGAAAATACAATCAATATTCTAATAGTAAAAACAGATACCTTTCAAATAACTTCTCATAAACAAACATCAAATTCTTTGCCTTATGTACTCGACTCTCTGCTAATGCTATCTGTATGACAAATTGTTTCGACTGAATAGAGACGATGCTTGTCATTTGTTCTTTTTTCTTTTCTTCTCGTTCCTTTCTTTATCGAACTAACTCCTTTTCCATCGTCATGTCAATTAATCACATGTTAGAGTGAGAACATCGACTCCAATACATATAAGGCCATGCAATTAGTTGTTCCCATGCTGATATCAGTACAGTTCGATATGATTACAAGCATATGCAAGTGCCACTATGTATTCTTCGTGTTGTACAAGGACAAAACGATCAACAATTCTGTTTTCCAGGCGAGAAGAAGAATGAGAAAGTTATGCGCTTGTTTCCCCCCTCCCCCCCTTTCTCTCTTTTGTCTTTTCTCCAATCTCGTGGAAAGTCTCGGTCAAAGAGAAGAAGAAAAGAAAACGAGGCCGAGAATATAATTCATAACAAACTGATGGATGTGTTTTATCAATTGATCGGAAAAAGAATGCGAACACAATAATGAAACGAGTCTCGTTAGAAAAGAAATCTACCGGCTAAAAGATATAACATTCCATGTTATTTATTTGATGTTCATCATCTTAATTCGATTGTAGACATTGATTGAAATGGTCTATTTACAAAGACTTACGCTTCGTCCATGAGTTGTTCGTTTTTAATCGCATTGTATAAAGATTTAAGTAAATCTTTCGAGAAATCGGCTCCATCATTCAGTTCTTGAAGATTATCACTAAATTGTTGAAATGTCATTTTCGTTGAGATTTTCTAAAAAATGAACAACAAAGAATGTTTCCTCTTTTCTTGTTTAGCACTTTTTTACTGAATCGTGAAGATCGGTATTGAGCAACATGATTGCGCATGTTAACATGTGACAAGCATCTACAAAGATGTTCTTGAAGAAGAAGGAAAATCAAGTTGCACAAGATACAAACCAACAGAAGTAAACGTCGTTGGATTACAATCGAGATATCTTGCTGCGAAGAAGTGGAGCACACGTTCGCGATCTTGTGTTTCTCCGATAATCGTAAATTGTTTCACAAATTTTCTCAACGCTCGATCAAGCGTGTCGCCTTGAAAATCAAATAATTTGACATATTCTTCGGCCACCAATTGGTTAAAATCGTTCCTGGAAGAATAACAATAATAATCATTGTCATTAACGTCACAACAACAACAACAATAATAATAACAACAATAGATCGATTTCCATATTGATAAACAGGTAAAGGACATCTTTAGTTTCATAGAATAGAAATAGATATTTAAATCTTGCTTTCATCTTCGCATGTCTTTTCTTTAGCTGGAGGATAAATAAATATAGAGAAGGAAAAAAAATTCTCAGAGAAAAGTATATATTATTCAAGAAGAAAAAAAGAAAAAAATAATAATAATCTAATTTTGTCGGCTCACCGAACAGTTTTATCCGTCGGCATAAATAACAGCTATTGAGCTAAGGATAAGATATAAAAATGGCATCGTTCAAGCGAAAATAGATGTTTCGTTCGTTTTCAACATTAGTCTATGCAAATACCCTAGGTAATTCGTTATTCCAGAACATTAAACGTTGGTAATCTTTGGTTTTCTTCCTACTTATGCGATACATCAATGAGTATATGGTTCGAAACGGAAATTCAAAAAGTACTTAGTCCTCTTGAGTACCAATCCTATTATTCTTTTTTCTTCAATTCCTTTGGCAATAACATTGATAAAATGAGTGTGACGATCTTCTTCCTCTTTTTTTTCGTGCTCCTCTTCCCCAATCGTCGTGAGCATCACAACAGCAGTCGACCTAATCTCGGCCAGAGCATAACAAAGATTTTTAATCTCAATTTCCTGTCCTACGCTCAATGTGTCACACAATGGATGTCAATTTCACATGTGTTTACATATAATCAATTTAGTCAACCTTGTTGCTTTCATGTTCTGCCTCTCTTGCGGTTTTCTCATTCAATCGGGATAAAAAGTAAATAGTAACTGACATTGACAAACAGAAATCAGAAAGGAGAACACGAGAGATACTGATTTTCCACGATAGACATCAAATAAAATAGAAAAAAAAAAGAAATCAAACTCACATACGTTCGTTCGTTCGTACTGCTGCAACAATTGAATATGCACATATTCCCAACATGTACTCATGATGCTGAATATTTCGACGACTTCACTGTTCGTGTGAACAGCAACAATGATGCTCAAGACTAGTTTCACTCGTGGAAGAGAAGATGAAAAACGCTTTTGCCAATAGGATGTTTCAATGTGTTCTACTAATCGACACACATAACGTGTGGAGAAAGCGGTAGACGGTAGTAGAAACAGAATGGAGCGAAAATCTACACTGTAACAACTTCTATTTTATTCTCTTGTGTTCAGTTGAGACATAAGACGAAGAATCTCCATTGCATAGCTTGTTTGTTCGCTCCGTTTGTCGCCGCATTATTCCATACTCATACAGACACACGTGATGGTGATGATGATGCGCACGCTTGGAGCAGAGAAGGGAGAGATTGATAGACAGAGAGAGAGAGAGAGAGTGAATGAGAGATCGAAGCAGAACAGACAACCCGGAAGACTCAAGAACAGGGACAGAAAAAGAATGACTAGTTACTTTAATAGTCGTAGATTTTGGAAATAATAAGAAGACGAGAAATAAAGACATATTCCGGAAGGAAATGACGCAATCAAAATCCTAACCATTTCCTTTTCTTTCCTACTATTTCTTTCTCATTTATATGCACGCAAGCGTGTTATTCTAATCAAATTAAGAAACCAGCCCAAAAAAGAACAGTCTGAAGAAAAGGAAAATTCTCTCATGTCAAAGTCATCGCATGTTTCTTGACATGGATAGTTAAGGTAATATTAGATGCTTGAAATAGATCTGGTAACTACAGGAATATTCACAGCAGAGGAAAATGAGAAACATATCCGTTCAAATTTGTTCTTCTCGAATAAACACTTGTTAAATAAAACTCGGAGAAAACGTTTGTGATTTACCTTTTGCATAGATGTCGAACGACATCCATGGACTTGAAACCATCCAGGGCATAGAGACGCTTTGCCAAACGACGTGCTGATGGAAGATCAACTGATTTATTAACTGTTTCCCAAGTAACCGGTACTAGAGATAAAATTATCGAATAACGGAATGAGAAAAGTACTCGATAATTGATTCGATTATTCAAATCAACATTGTCCTATTTTCTGACTATGAAAAGAATAGAAAAACATCCTTACAATTAAAGTCGAATTCATCGTCTATATCCTTCAATCTTGCATCTATCGCGTCTTTGGTCTTCTGATCAAGTTCACACGATATAGGTGATGTGGATTGAGTTACATGTTTAGTTAATGATGATTGTTCGTTTACATGATTAGTTCCATTTACACTGGCAAGATTATCGTAATCAGCATGACTTGCAGATGGAAGCGGTAGATCGACTAATGACGATGATGAGATTGTTAATTCATCGGTACATTTTTGCCCACATGAATCAAGACTATTTTCACATGAACGACTTCTTTCGGATTGCGCATATTGATTATAACCATTGAGCATTGAATAATGTGAATGACCGTTCAGTTTTGGTAAAGATATTTTCTTCTCGCGTTGACAATATTCGGTATCAGATAGATTGTCTTCGTCAGGCACTTGTGTTGACGATGAATCGGTCAAACTGGATGACGTATAAGCAAGGCCACAATCTAAGAAATAAAGAAACAGTTTCTTTTGCTTTTCGACTAATTCAATTAGTGATTCGTTTCTCAGATGATAATTCAAAGAATCTTTAGTTTGATCAATTAGGAGTAAAACAGCTGAGAGATAATATGAAACTGATATAGCACAATGTAAATTGATTTATATCTCTTTATCTTCTTGAGTTTTCTTTTTTCATGGCATGAAACCTGACATCCCAATCAGTTTCTTCTAACTGTCAGTTTTTATTATTAATCGAGAAAAGATATGTGCGATAGACTAAATATTGATGAGTGTTAGAACGACGAGAAGAAGAAGAAGAACTATGATGAAATCAATCTTCGACCGACGTGCAATACGTCTCATATCATACCAACGGCTAAAGAAGGCGCGAGAGATGCAGAGAAACACATTTATGTTACTAGTGTTAAGGACAAAAAACTGGCAGTAAATAAGAAAAACGATCTTGTCGAATGGAAGAAAGAAAGAACGAAGGGCTTATCAAGAAAATTGATAAGTTAGAAAACACCTGCGACGTTTAATCAACTACAGTCACCTGTCATTGTCAATAATAATCATAACTATGTTGAGAACTAAAATAGGACACATGTTTTTCTCCATCTCTGTTCTTGTCACTAACTTAATACAATTAACGCATTTTGTTTGCGTTTCCTTCACAGTAAATGCTCGTAACTAAATCGACATGATTCAATTAGAATAACTACCTCCTAATCGGTTGTCTTTCTGCTATGGACAATGTATCATGAATATTTTATATTTACTCAATCGACGAAAGAGAAAACGATTATTTCATTGCATTTGATCATTCACAGCTGTATTATATTCTCAAAGGAAGAGAAATGATTATGAGTAAAGAAAAGAAAAGATAAAAACAACAGAACACGGAGACACCGTATGTAGTTGTCTGAATAAGAGAAATACTTTTTCTTATAAAGAATGAATATTTGCGATTCTGCTAAATAATACCTGACAAGCGAACTTCTATATCTACACCTTTCTTTCTCTCCTTCCTTCGGCTCTAATTTTGCTAAGCTTTCTTTGAGTGACACGCAACTAGGGGATCTCTTCGAACATGTACGTATTCTACTTGAGAATGAAGTGAACGATGAATAAGCGATTCTATTCACAATGATCATACATATATATAACAGAATGAAAACAATAGAAAAAACGCGAAAGTGGATGCTGATGATGAAATCAAATACTTCTTTTCGTAACCATACATCGTTTGCCGATATGTCTTGTAAAAACAGTCATTCTTACCTTGATTCTTCCTCTCGTCATCGCAGTAGGTTTAGTTATGTAAGATTAAATAAATCAATTCGAATACAATTTCAATCTTTAAATTTAATTATACAAACAAGAATAATCAGATCCTAATCTGATTATCACTAATATCTATGCTTTGAGTCCAGTTCTATTTTTAGCTTCGACATGAGAATCATTTCCCAATGGTAATTCACAAATAAATGATGTCATACCTGATTTCAAACGTATACGAATTCGATTACCGGAGAGTTTCAAATTCTTCTCTACTGAAAGACAAAATAAGAGAAACTTCTTGTCAATGGAAATCAATGCCTTCAATATTTACATTCAGCAACTGTTTGACCAGCTGTGCTTACGCCATTTAATTCGACAACGATATCACCGGGTAAAACCTGAACGAGGCAAGAAGGAAGATACGAATGGTTTTATTTGTTTAAACGCAAGTTTTACTTTCGAAAGCGATCGCCAGATATGTGTTGGTAAATGAACATTATGATTATTGAATACTGATCGAATAGAAATGACTGAATATTTAGCATTGGTTGGATTATTTTCATCATTATCATCCATCCATTCAACACCAAAACTATCGTTTAATAATTCATGTCGATATCTAAATGTGAAATGAAAGGGCATCGAATATTTTCTCCTTTGTATTCAAATCAAAACAACAATAACATACAGATCGACGACTTTAATAATCGGTGTTGTTGTCATTTGATCGTTATCTAGAAAGTAAAAACTCGTTCTTGGCTGTAAGAACACTTATGGAACGTCTCTTCTCGCCTTTTTCCTATCCTTTTGACAGTGAAACAATGACTCATCAAACAATTGGCTTGAGGGAAAAGAAGAAAAGAAAATCTATTTCTGTTACATCTTGTCTTTGTTTCTATTCTTCACCAATAAGATTCTTTTCGCGTGTTTTCAATGATTTTCTTCAAAAATCTAGTCGAACTTTCTTATTATTTTAAATAGACAAATATTTACTTCGAAAGAGATTCAAATTCTTCCCAAATTTGTATATGCGCGACATCTAAATCAGCCCAACGGAAGTTATGCTTGAAAGAACATCGAGATATTTTCACTCTGAAACGATGAATAAACGTATTTTATCATATTTAAATCAATTAGAACCTCCAATTGACATTGATTTACCAAATAAAAATGTACGATGGTTATATCCATATAAAAATGCCGAAACTTGGCGATGCGTCGAATCTTTCTATTCCAAGTATTACTCCGATAAACACGAACGCATTCTTATTCTCGGAATAAATCCTGGTCGATTCGGTAGTGGAACTACAGGTAAATAACAATCTATTAATTATATGTTAACGCTCAGCAATCTATGAATAGATGAATGAAGACAAGGAAAACTGATTGCTTCTTTTTTCTTCCGGAAAGTTATTTTTCCATCCTATTAATTGTCTATATACATTGTTCATTCAATTCTCTTATAGCTTGACAAACATAATCGATGATAATTCTTGTTTATCTAGGTGTACCATTGACTGATCCCATACGTTTAAAAACTGACTGTGATATCGATTCAGATTTTCCACCCAAACCGGAACTATCATCTCAATTCATTTACGATTATTTCTTTCAACAATATCCGATGAAAGATTTCTACCAGAAGTTTTTTATCGGTGCTGTTTGTCCACTTGGTCTCGAATGTAATGGACGAAACATGAACTACTATGATAATAAAGTTTTCATGAAGAATTTACTTGAAAACTTCATTCCAGATCATATTGATCAACAAATCAATCTTGGTTGTTCGAACAAAGTTGCCATTTGTCTTGGTGAAGGTATTAATTATTCAACATTAGATAAATTAAACAGCAAATATCAATTTTTCAAAAAAATCCTCAAAGTTTCACACCCACGATACATTATGCAATATAAACGAAAGCAGATTAACGATTACGTTCAACAATATATCAATGCATGTCATTTAGCATTAAAACTTGTTTCGAAATAGTGTTTTCTTTTTTTTAATTATTGATCCTGTCATCGAATGAATGAGAATAAAAGTGAAATCACAATGGAATATTTTGTCCGAATGTTAACAAGAGAGAAGCGATTGAGGAGAAAACTGAAACTGTGGATGTGTTTTTCTGGATGTTGAAGAATCAATATTAATCTAACAGAACGGAACTTTTTTAATAGATCGTAACAAACATTTGTATTTACTTCGATTTAGAATGATGAATGCAGCGAATCGGAAGCGACGATTCTGTCGATCGAGAAGAGAAAAGTCTGACTTTTGACAGAGTAGACATACCGAAGCTCCTAAGAACACAGTTTTATTTCGATAAAAGACCTTTTTGATTAGTCAGCATTATGTATCACAGTAACACATCTACAGTTTCTTATCAGCGACACCTTGAAAGAAAACGTTTCATTTACAATGATGAAAAACAACAATAACAATAAACGAAAAACGCAATTCAAACGAGAAGTCGGATTATAGAACAAAAACTTCGAGACTTGAACTTAAAACTCCATTTGTTAGCGTTTCAGTGTTTGTATCAAACGATTGCGAAGATTTACATTGATCTAATGACTCGGAATGTATTCGTGAATCTTGAAAATAACTATTTATTAAATCTGATTGTTCCATATAGGATTTCGGTCTTAAGACATCAGCAGGTTTCTTACGTTTGAGTTCCTCGTAACTACTATTGATCAGTTGAATCGTGGAAGCATCTTCCTTTGCCGTCAAACGCTTTATCGACGTAGCGTTCGAATGTGAGCTTTCGAGTGATTGTTGAGGTGTAGATTCAAGTGTCAACTGTACAAAAGAAGCTAAGGGTGCTAGGGTTGTCTGAGATCTTCGTGTATTGATTGAATTAAAGTTAAAACCCGTCGGACGTTTCACAAGACTTGTTTGATTTCTCATTGAATTCTCTGCCTGACAAGAATTTTCTACTTGAATACAGTAACGACGTTCAATGACAGGCGATTCAGTCTTAACACACTTCGGCAAAGAATTGTTCGCAGATGTGCATGTAAGACTACATTCGTATTGATATAACTGACCTAAGAAATTGAAATTCGGTGAGATTTGCGAGCGACGCTGCTTCACGTATTTGTATGCGTCATCTGCAGATAAATGTAAATAACGTATCACATATGCAATCGCAAGGGCTGGTGAACGACTGATGCCAGCTACAGAAGACAAAAACGCCAATCATAGAACAGAAAAAGAAAATGAGTAATCTTACCTAAACAATGAATTAACACATGACCATTGTTTAATCGTGCCTTCTCTAAACATTGATTATGAAAAAAAAACAAGTCGAAGCTTTTGCACAATAGTTTTTCCTTACCGATAAACGCATAAGCTCGATCAAAGTATGGTGATAGTTGAGCATCGAGAGAGTCATTAATCGGTATTCGTAAGAAATGCTCATGATTATCATCACTTACAAACGATGGTCTGTCACCTGTCGTACTTACATTAATCACATGCGTTATCTGATGTTTCTAAAATACAAGACACAAAAAAACATAACGACAATGAATAAAAAAGCATAAAAGCGAGACATGCCTGTATGGTTGTCGGCGACGAAGCATCTTCTTGACTGCCGACGAACAAAAAGTGGAAAATTTGAGACAGGGTTGAACGACACTGATCTTTTGATGGTTGCTCCGACATATGGTTGTTATTGAGAAACAGTGTATATGAATGAGTAAAGACGGACGTTGATCAAATATATGCCGTATGAGTCATTCCAGGTGTATAAAATACGTCTTTCTGAATGCTTTACGAATTTTTTCATCAGCTTTGACTCATTTATTCAAACATTTTTCGATGATTCAGTAGGAAAAAGCAAAATATAGTTTCGTTAATGGTCACCTATGTTTTACCTTTCTTTGCTATTTTAATCTGCATTTTTTTTGCTACACCTTCTTCCTTTTGACGTGAGCAACTTTATTCGATTGACGACAAATTATGATAATTTGAAAACCCGTTCGAATGTGGGTGAGTCGTCGGTACTCATTATGATAATTACGCATCAATATATGAGTGATCAATAAAAAGCAAAAAATAGCCGGAGTTGGGCAAAACTTCATATTCAGAGGTAAAAACCATCTCGAATATTCCGACACAAATCTATACAGCGATCACCGATAATTCGAAAATTCCAGTTCTGTAAGTTTCATGTAATTGAATCTATCCTGTGCAAGATTGTATTGTCAATAATGAGTAATCGTCGTTACTCATACTCAGATGTCAGAAAAAGTGAAATTATCTGGGTAATATCACATAGTTACGTTTCGGTCAATATACGAGACAAGGGCTGAATGTATTCATATACCGTTGAGGCGAGATTCTCGCTTCCATTTGCTCTCACTGAGCATTTAGAGCAACAAGACATAATAAATAAATAGAAAAATTAGGAATTTTTATTCTCATTTGGAAAAATCAATGATAAAAAATAGATTTGCCGTCGATATCAAGCCATCGTCGATGATTCTTGTCGTCGTTTGACCGCATAGATATGATTATTCGCACAGGAAATACAGTAAACATACTGATCATCGGAGACTACGAAAAAGATTCAAACAAATTTCAAAAACAGCATGTACAAGTTCCTTTCAAACCTGTAATTCGTTCGAATGACATCTGTTTGGTCGGATGTACACTCATTTTAACTGCACATAGAACCATTTTATATATAAGATTTGCTACAGCTTCGTTATTTTGTAAATCTCCATGACTATGTTCAACGAACCCATCAGCACTCATCACGATATATCCAACACAGTCGGGAACATCATCGAAAACTTTTAGTGAAACACTCATCTGAAATTTATCGAATGAAATTGCTCAATCGGAAAACGTGTGTTGATCTGAACTCGTGACCATCCGACAGTGGAATCGATTAGATTAGAAATGTTCCTTGTTTTTCCAAAGAATGACGACAAAAACAAAAATTTGACTAATACGATGTCCGAAGACATGGAAATAGATATAACGATTTACGACAGCACGAGCATGATTAAGCAAATCGATTTCAGCGAGAAGATCATGACTTTTGGACAAAGCTCAACTTTTTTTATTTGTCCATGGTATTTTGCAAAAACAAATGAAGATCTTTAGTGGGTTTTGTTTCTATTATTCTTGATAGAGTTTGAAGTAACTTTGTGATAAGATGTTGCATTTATAACTAAAATAGAAAACAATACTGTCCACAAGACGACGGACTACAACAAAGACGGCATAAAATTAATTGGCCGGTGATTGTTTCGCTACTGCTTCTTTCGGCCGTTGTCGAACTCTAATAAGAACAGTGCGCAATTCTTCGGCAAGTCTGTCACGGGGAATTTCAAACTAAATAGAAAGAAAATTGACATATTATGTCAGATTGAAGGTGTGTCGTACTTCTTCTCTTGTGATAACATCACGAATTTTCACAATACCAGCTTCTAATTCTGAACCACCGATGATTACACACAATTCAATTTGGTTCTTTTCGCAGTATTGTAGCTGATCAAGCATTTTTGGATTACGTTTAAATGCCATTTCTGCCTAAAAAATCAATAAACCAACAAAAATTTGTTTGAGCATCATAGTAAACTGCACGAACCTTAAAGCCGTTGGCCCATAAATAATTACACAATTTCATTCGTTCTTCAATTAAATTCTTTTGAGCGGATGCAACATAAACCTCTGTTTCAACTGTTTTCACTTGAACTTTCGATTCCGCCAACTGAATTTCCTTAATAGCAAAGACTCGTTCTATACCAATACTGGCGCCAATGCATGGCACTGCTCGTTGTCTTGGATCGATCTTTTTAACTAATTCATCATATCGTCCTCCACCAGCAACACTACCAACAGCGACTTGATCTTCGCCTAATGCTGAATTGTATTGATACTGAGTTAGAACAGCTTCGAAAATAACACCCGTGTAGTAATCCAAGCCACGTGCTAATTTCAAATCGAATACAATCTAAGAGAATAAATAGGAGCTCTTTTAAAATTTTTCTTGTCAGTTTTCTTTACTTTATCCATGACATCGTACAATGTTAAATAACGGAATAGTGTTTCCATATCTTTCAGCGCTTCAATAGCTGATTTTTGAGCTGTTAGCTGAGCATCTGTTTGAAGTTTGGCGATCAATTCTGTACTTCCTAAAACATCCGAAAAGAAACAGTAATCTACATTCACAACGAACCGAATGAATTACTAACCATGCATCTGAACGTAACTCCAAATCTTATCAGCCACGTCCGGCGCTAGACCTTTTTGGTGTATCATTTCGTTTCGAACATCTTGCCAAGGTGTCTTAAAACAAACTTGCACATTGATCTAAAGCTGAAACTTCGCCTGCATACTTTGTCAAGTTTGTCGACTGCTGAACTAATCGGTCGAAATTTATCATCCGGAACGCCGCAAACAGCAAAGATGGCATCAAGTAGTTTACGGTGGTTTACCTAAAGTACCCTCAACTTTCAAATGATCGTGTGTAGAAAGTGCTTACAAAGATTTTATATTGTCCGAGATTAAGTTTATCGAGAATTTCTACAACAATTTTAATACATTCGGCATCTGGCACCATGGCATCGAAATCACCGGCAATGTCGAAATCGCATTGATAAAATTCTCTGTATCGGCCTCGTGTCATTTTTGGATTATCACGTCGGTACACTTTGCCAATGTGGTATCGTTTCATCGTTGCAATTTTATTCTGTGCAACATAACGTGCAAATGGAACTGTTAAGTCATAACGTAATGCTAAAGGCTCGGCACCTCCTTGATCTTTTAATTCATAAATAAGTTTAGCATCTTCACCGTATTTCTCTGTAAGTAATGTCGTTATTTCCATTACTGGAGTGTCGATCGTTTCAGCTCCGTGTTGTTTAAAACAATCGGTAATCGTCTTAAAGACTTCTTCACGAATCTTCATCTGACCGGGATGATAATCTCGTGTACCCTAATGAGAATGATGAACAAATTACTTTGTACGTGAAGGAGAAGTGAATTTACTCGAGGCGTTTTGAGGAGACCACCAGCAGATGATTCTTCATCTTCACCATTTGCTTTTTGCTGAGCTTCATGTGCTTTTTTCAACTCAAGCAATTTGTTCACAGCTTCTTGAATCTAATCGAAAATAATTTTTCCTTTTGTTAATGATTGATCATCGAGTGACAAACCTGATCTTTCGAAGCTTTTTCTCCTTTCAACTTTCGAACAAGTTCGCCTTGTATTTTTATCAAATCAGAAAGATCTGTGTCAGTTAAGGTCATCGCAGTTGCCATTTCTGACGCCAAATTCGAAGAAGAATCTGAATTAGTTGCCATTATTTTGATAATGCTGAAATATAGATGAATACAATGCAATATCTATCTAATAGGGTACTTAAAAAGTAAATGATGAAAGGAAAGAAATACATCTGATGCAACCGCATGGAAAATCAACTTTGTCATATGTTGAAATTTGGAAGTGAGCTTCGAAGTGTTTGTTATTTTCTCGCAAAGTGTTTTTTCTGATGAAAAAGTGGAATTTTCGAAAATGAATTTCGTTTTACATTCCTCGATTTTTGAATTGAGGATTATATTGTATGCAAATGGCGACTTTCAACCAATCAGAAGCGTTCCTATCCGACGCGTGTACAGATAGTGATTGCAGGATCGAACGAACGAAAAAGCGCCTCGGTAAATTTTGATCAAGAATGACTGAAAAAAAGCAACATTGTGTTCTGCTTGATTGACTTATTTATTGTACTTTTCCCTGTCAATTTTCTTGTTCATATTAAATTAATATATAATTATTTTTCTAGACCGTTTTACTCTTTTTCGTTCTGTGGTTGGTTATAGATACACTCCAATTGTCCTTGTCTTCTTACTTATACGTATCGTCTATATTTTCTCTCTCTCTCCTTCTTCTCTGAATGTGTCTCATCAATCTTGTTATAGTTGAGACATTTTTAACATCATTAGACAATACTTGCTTGCTCAATGTTAAAGCCGGAAAGAGTTACATTTTCTGCTGATGACGAAGAATTCAATCAGTTCGCAAATCGTGATCAACTAAATTCTATTCTTGATCATTCTCTTGTTCACTATTCCACAGATTTTAAAAGAACTGAACAGCAACCACCAACATCTATTAGACATTCACATTCATTAGACGAATTCTCGTCAATAACCATGACTAGTCAACAACAACAACAACAACAACAGCAAGAAATTAATCACGAACCACCCACGTCAGCACCACCGTCTGTGATATCAGACCAAACTTCACTTTTGAATGAAAGCAATTTGCATCAATTAGATGCTTTAACATTGCAGCAATTAGCTATCGGTACCAGTCATTACCCATCAAACAGAAATGAAGATGATATGAAAGCAAGTTCTACGCACTCAACATCACTTATTGAAATACAAAAGGAAGTTGATCGTGTTAAACAAATGAAATATGGACGGACATATTCATCCCCCACATCGTCACTCTGTTCACGATTAACAACAAATCCATTCAATGGATCCACAAGTAATATTGACGTTTCATCAATCACACATCCCATCAACTTCAATGAACAGACAAGTCAAATCAATCATCTTCCATTTTCGTCCACGTATATCACATCTATACCAGAATCTGTCGTACCAGCATCCAACTCATCAGTGACGAATGAAATTCACTTCATCCCAATCAACTCGATCGAATCGCCAACAATAGAAGATCGAGAAGTGTTTGAAACTTTCCATACAAAATCAAGTTCGATGCCCGGCATAGCAATTCGCCAACCAGGAAATTCCTTGAATCTTGATATGTCCACATCAGAAACTGATCTAATAGCGTCATTACATCGAAGTGTTAGCAAACAGGGCCTGGATAATCAATCTGAACATGGCACAACGTACAGTGGAGTATCAGACGACTTGATATTTGTCGAATGGGATAAAGAACGAAGTTTATTTCAAGATTATATCAATTCCTTACGAACAGAAATTCGCGTACTTTTACAAGAACGTGCCGAATATCAAAAGCAAGTCGAAACAGTCAATAATAATCTAAGTGAACATAAACGTTTGAATGTTGCACAAATTTCCACTGATCAGAATAAATTGGATTTATTACAGAAATCAATGGCAGAGAAAAATCTTGTCCTTGAACAAATGCAAAAAGAATACGAAAATCTGAAGGAGAAAAACAGCAACTTAACTCGTAAGATCTCCGTGTTACGCTGCGATGCCAAATCTCAATCAGGTGTAATCGATGAATTAAAGCAGAAAATCGCCGAACTAACCGTCGATGTTCAAAATCATATGCTTGTCAAGCATCGATTAGAAGTGTCAATGATGAACTTAGAAAGTGATTGCAAATTAATCGATGCAGAACGACTCCGTTTAACGAATGAAATTAAAAGTATCCAAGTGAATAGGCAAGATTTGGAAAAATTGTTACAACAAGCTAATGTGCAAATCGCTGAACAAGGTAAACGCGGTTTTTTGTTTGACGACTGAAAGCATAACGAATTCTTTGTGACATATCGTCATAACAACGATTGTCATTCGTTTTCTCATGAAAAACAACAATAGAATCGAAGTTATCAGACAGAATGTGTTGTAATTTGTTCTTCATAGTTGGATAACTATAGATGCAATCAAGCGATAATATTGTCCTTGAGAACAATTAGTTCGTTGATGAGACATGAGAACTTTCCACAATAAGAAAACAAATTGACTAATTTGCGTTGACTTTCATGGAATTTTCTGGCGTATGTTGTTTAGGTTCAACAATCGAGATGCTTCGTTCTGATAACATTCAAGTTCGTTCGCAATTATCTGCAACACAACGACGAATGTTACAAGAAAAACAGCAGGTGATGGATTATCTGCGACAGATCGAAAACGATCTTGTGGAAAAAGAACAAGTCAAACAACGGGAAGCGATTCTACGCAGAGATTTCGAAAAACTACAATCAACTCAACAGCAAAGTCGACAAGAAATCGAACAGTTCACCGCGAAAATTCGTCAAGATAAACAAAAATTAGATCAATTGGAACAAGAACGTTTGCAATTGTTAAAAACCATTGAAAACATGGATGAAAATAAAATTCAATTAGAATCCGAATTAAATTCATACAAGTCAGCAACCAAACGCCTGTACACGCATTTCAAACTACCGTTCGATTCTGTTCATTCAATTGATCAGTTGTTACCCATGATTGAAGATCGATATCGTACAGAGCAAGTTGCTCAAGTGCGTTCGCCTTCGTTATTTTTAGTATCTTTAAATACGTTTCATCTTTCAGGCTCGTATTCATCATGTCCAACTGGTACAATCAACATCGGATAGCAACAGTCAACGTGAAACAGAAGAAACTCGTCAGCTTCGCGAAGAGCTCGTCGCAATGGATGTTCGATTGAAACAATTGAATGAAGCTAATCAAGCTTGGCAACAGTATCAACAGAATCAATTGGAAATGTTACAAGGACGATTGAAATTGGATGATATTACTCATTTATCATTCGAAGATATTGTCCAACAAATTGAAAACCGCTTGGACGACTATCACAACGAAATTAACGAACTTCGCAACAAGACGAGTAAGTTTTTCGATACGAATTATGATCGTACACTATTTTCATATCAAACAGATGTTGCGAATGAAATAATTCATCGATCTCAAGACACTCAAACTGACCAGAATGAAGAGTACCAAGACGAAAAGCTTCAAAACGATCCTCCATCGAATATTAGCCATTATGAAAATGAAATTCGTGAATTACAGGAGAATCTTGCTGCTCTCACAGCGCAAAACACACAGCTCGATGAAGCTAATCGTGCATGGTCACAGTTCCATCAAACACAACTCGACAGTTTCAGAGATAAAATTCAAAGGAGTTATCGTCTTAATGATATTGTCACGTTCGACGACATTGCACAACAAGTTCTCGATAAACTTGATAAATTGAAAACTGAACGGAATCTTTTAAAGCAACAGTTACAAGCAGCAGAAAAAGTCAACGATGAACTTCGAACGGGTAAGGCAATGGATTTACTTTAAAAAAAAATGAAAGAAAGTTTATGTTTATTCCCAGGAGCGAAGGATGAGACCCAAAGAATGAAGGACAACTATGACGCGACAATCAATGATCTTACTCAACAAGTGACCATATTCAAACAACAGAATGATCAACTGGAAATCGAAAAATATGCACTAAATCAGCAATTAGAGAGTCAATTCTTACTTTATGTCAAACAGGAACGCAATACGCCTACACCAGGTTTGATACCTCTTTCGGTATATAGACATGTATATATACATATCGGACTATCATTTACAGATTCCACAAAAGGTGATGCACAACTCCGTAGAAAGAGCAAACGATCATCACCAATTGGAGAGGTTTGTCAAACTTGCTTCATTCTTTCTTTAACTTATATTTATTTATTCAAGGCTCAGGTACATAGCATCTCACCTGTTCGAGCATCGCCTTCTCCTGCTCAAGATCAACAACTTCAACAACTACGAGACAATCTCGATCTTCTCACCTCACGATGTGCACAACTCGACGAAGCCAACCAAGCTTGGCAACTCTATCATCAGACTCAGTTCACCACTTTCGTCAACCTCATGCATGATGTTCTCTCCATCGATGACAGCTCATCGTTGGATCAAGCTGCACAACATATCATCGAGCAGATCGTGAAAGAAAGAGATGATTTTCATCAACGATACGCAACGTTGCAACAAGAAAACGATAGTTTGCGAACAGGTAAGAAATACAGCAGAATGCGAGAGATAGCGAGATGAGCGATTGATTTATGTAGAATCGACGACTAAATTGGAAGAACTCGACCAGTTCTACAAGAATGCAATCGATGAACTGAATCAACAACTTCTTTTGAAAGATACATCCCAACAAACACATATTGATAGTCTTCGAAATCAACTCGCGTCATCTCTATCCACCGATTCCAACAGCTCACTCGACGAACTTATCCAGCAGATCGCCGAGCAAGTCAAAGCTCAAAAGTTTGATTTCGATGAGAAATACCAAGCACTCGAACGAGAAAACGAAGAGCTTCGATTGGGTGAGTGTTGTTGTGTTATGATTATGTTGAAGTATGTGATATAATTGTGTGATTGTATAGAAAGTGCAAGAAATCTGGAATCGATTCGAGAGTCGTATGAAAACACGGTGAATGAACTTAATCAAGAGTTATCAGCTGTGAAAGAGGCATATGATCAACTTAATGTTGAAAAACAAATCTTAGGTATGTTCATTACTGAATGTAGAATGAAAAATACATAGAATTTTGCTTTGATAGAGAAAGCAGTGTCATCAGAAGCGGAGCAACAATCACCATTGGAGGTTTGTTTTTACTTCTTGACTGTGTCTAACCGTAGAATAATTTTGGGTATTTATCAGATGAAAGTGGGTAGTGACCACAAGAGCGCAGAAGAACTTCACAATTTGAGAGGCAGTTTCGAATTGTTGGCAAGTCAATGTGCTCAGTTGGAAGAAGCCAATCGTGCATGGCAAACGTATCAACAGAGTCAAGGGAGCGTTTTTCGTACTAAACTTGTTGATTATATTCCGATGGGTGAGAGTCAATCGTTCGAAGAGATGGCACAGGTTATTATCGATCACATTATGAAAGAACGCAATGATGCTAATGATCGACATCTAGAACTGGAAAAGACAAACAACGAGTTACGTTTAGGTAAGTTACAAGACTACTGTGTACCTTATCAATGATACTTCTTCTAGAATCAGCAACTAATCTGGAAGCAATTAAGGAATCGTACATGAATACGATCGATGAATTGAACAGAGAATTACTTAGTGTTAAAGAGCAATGTGAACAGCTAAATATGGAAAAACAAGACCTAAATCAACAACTACAAAAACAGGAACAGGAAAAAGTTGCTCCAAGTGAGTCTTTTGCTCTACTGGAAAACTTTTGTGTTTATAAAATTTTTACTTTCATTGTAGAATCAACACCCGCGACTTTGCTATATGAAGTATGTTGCGTGTAAATACAATAGTCTTCGGTCCTAGTTAGTCATTTTTCAGGTCCCGATTCATTCGACTACTTCAGATGTTCACGAAGAAACAGAAGAAATTCAACAGTTACGAAAAAATTTCATCGAACTTACCTCTCAGTATGCCGTTTTGAATGAAGCTAACCGCGCTTGGCAGGATTATCATCAAACTCAACTCAATGATTTCCGTGCCAAAATTCAAGATCACTTCCAAATTGATAGTGATGCGTCGTATGATGACATCGCTCAACTAATTGTCGATCAAATCACGACTGAACGAGAACAATTCAGCAAACAATATCAAACATTAGAAAACGCTAACAATGCTCTTCAATCAGGTAAAACCTTCTTGAAGTGTTTAAGATTTACACTCGTTGATTTATGTGTTCAGAATTCAACAATGAAAATAAAGAATTCGCTGCCACCAAACAACAGTATCAGCAGATGTTTGACGAAAAGGACAAATTACTTCATCAGTTAGAAAATCCAACTGTTGCTGAGAATCAACATCAAAATACTCAGACGTCAGGTAAAGGTTCATTTGCGGCAGAAATCACTCTTAATATTAAAAGCTTGTATTTTTTAGATTCTGAAAATGTTGATCTTTGTCAACAACAAGCTGGAATGGTATGTTGAAACCTTCTCTATCGTCCTATTTTATTCGTTTCATTTTTAGCCTGAACTTCGTGAAAATCTAACATCTCTGACAAATCAACTGGATGAAACCATTCATTCGTGGCAACAGTTCGAACACAAACAACTTGAACTGCTCAAAAATCTGCTACCATTTTCCGACAAAACCTCGCTCGAAGACATTGTACAAGAGATTATCGTTCACATTAGTCAATTAACTAAAGAACTCGAAACTTCCAAAGAAAACGAAAGTGAACTCAACCAACGCTTCGAACAATTACGCGAAGAAAGTCAAATGGAAGGTGAGACACTCATACGCAAGTTTATCTAATCGAAGAACTTCGAATATTCTTTTTAGACATCAAGATGAAAGAAGATTTAGTTGTCTTACAAAACCAATGTACAGAATTGGACAATGCAAATCGTGCTTGGCAATCATTCTATGATCAACAAATCGAGATTGTGAAAAATAAATTGCAAGAGTATATTAGCTTTACCGAGAATTCAACCTTCGATGAAATGATTCAGTTGATCGTCGATGAATTCGAACAAATGACTCAACTGACTGACAATAGTCAATCAGGTAAGACTTTTAGCCAAAAATTCATTCGGTTGAATACATTTTTTTTTAAGATTCAATGGCCAATAATCTTGACTCTGTTAAAAAGGAACTAAGTGATTCTCGTGGAAATGAAAAAGATCTTCTCCAACAAATCTCAACTCTTCAGTATGACTGCCAAAACTTTGAACAACGACTGAAAGATAATCAACACTTCATCGAATCATTAAATAGCCGGTTGAAAGATCTAACCGAGGAAAATGAACAGGTTAAACGGCAAGCTGAAGAATGTCAACAGAAGAATGAATTACTTCTCAGTGACAATCTTAACTTGACCAGCCGTTTAACTGACTTCGAACGAACAGGGACTCCTTCGGATATGTCAACATCTATTCTACAAAAACAAGCACGCCTTACTCCGGTTTCCGAAGTTAGTCAAATACTGTTTCATCGCTTTGTTTATCTTGTTTTGCTTTAGTTGCAAATACATCGAACAACGCCGGTTCGCTCAGCATCTTCTCTTGACGTCGACGAAGAAATACAGCAGTTACGCACGAATCTAACCGCTATTACAACACGATGTGCACAACTAGACGACGCTAATCATGCTTGGTCACAATATCATCAACAGCAATTGGACACTTTCCGAAACAAATTACAAGATTTGATCCCTTTGACGAACGATGCAGATCTAGAACAAATGGCACAGACAATTCTCAACTTTGTCGATGAAGTCAAAGCTAACAGTCAACTAGGTAAAAGATATTCTTGACAAAACGATCTTTCAACAAAAATCTTATAGCTGATCTAGATTCAACTCGAGCGGCTAACAATCCAATGCACAATCAGAACGACACTCTTGAACAACTGAGCCAGAAATTAGTCGATGCTTATAAACAATGTGAGGATTATCGCGAAAATAATACTCAACTGCTTGTATCGAAGCAACAACTTGAGGAACAAGTCGAAGCACAGTTACAACAAATAAATAGCTTTCATTTGGCGAATACAAATGCAGAAGAGTTATCTCAACTGCAGCAATATAACGAGTCTTTGACAGTAGAAAATCAACAATTACAAATGAAAATAAATGACATGGAACAACGTTTCAATCAAATACCATCGAACGGATTCATTCAACGGATTGAATCGCCCAGAGAAGTTCGTGTTTTTCCTTTTATCCGAGAAAGACAATGGAACCGTTTATCTTGTGTTCTAGAATGTTGGAATACACAATATCAATCGTGATCGTGATGAAGAACTTCAACAATTACGAGCAGATCTATCAACAGCTTCAGCACGTTGCGCGGCTTTAGAAGAAGCGAATAGCGCTTGGCAGAAATATCAGTTCGATCAAACGGAATCGTTCAAACAAAAATTACAACAGCAAATTCCAGTGTTACAGACACTAGATAATACATCGTTAGATTTGATTGGACAACAAGTCATGAATTATTTAGATCAATTGAATGAGCAACGAGATAATCTTATCAAACATAATGATTTATTGAAAGAAGAAATTCAATTACAGAAACAACATATGGGTATTTTGTATTTTTTTTGGAGTTCATTCTTCATACTTGGTTAAATTTAGAACGTCTAGGATCACCGGACACCGACAGTCGAAAGTCACAACGACGGTCATACGACAGAAATGTTCGAGAGGTCAGGATTCTTTCTCTTCACTCTGGTGTATTTCTAAGATTTTATTTATTCAAGGCTCAGGTACATAGCATCTCACCTGTTCGAGCATCGCCTTCTCCTGCTCAAGATCAACAACTTCAACAACTACGAGACAATCTCGATCTTCTCACCTCACGATGTGCACAACTCGACGAAGCCAACCAAGCTTGGCAACTCTATCATCAGACTCAGTTCACCACTTTCGTCAACCTCATGCATGATGTTCTCTCCATCGATGACAGCTCATCGTTGGATCAAGCTGCACAACATATCATCGAGCAGATCGTGAAAGAAAGAGATGATTTTCATCAACGATACGCAACGTTGCAACAAGAAAACGATAGTTTGCGAACAGGTAAGAAGTGCAGTAGAATACGAGAGACAGCGAGATGAGCGATTGATTTATGTAGAATCGACGACTAAATTGGAAGAACTCGACCAGTTCTACAAGAATACCATCAATAAATTGAATGAAGAATTGCTCACTTTCAAAGATCAATCCCAACTAAGACGCGGTTAGTCAGTCTATTCTGAAAACTCCTTGTAATTTGTCGGTTCTTTCTGTTCTGCACAGATTCCACATCATCGGATGACGCGCGAACGACAATCGCTTCACTCACTGATGAGCTCGAGCTAACGAAACAGTCTCAACAAACACATATTGATAGTCTTCGAAATCAACTCGCGTCATGCCTATCCACCGATTCCAACAGCTCACTCGACGAACTTATCCAGCAGATCGCCGAGCAAGTCAAAGCTCAAAAGTTTGATTTCGATGAGAAATACCAAGCACTCGAACGAGAAAACGAAGAGCTTCGATTGGGTGAGTGTTGTTGTGTTATGATTATGTTGAAGTATGTGATATAATTGTGTGATTGTATAGAAAGTGCAAGAAATCTGGAATCGATTCGAGAGTCGTATGAAAACACGGTGAATGAGCTTAATCAAGAGTTATCAGCTGTGAAAGAGGCACATGAACAGCTTAATGTTGAAAAGCAACACATGGGTATGATGATCGCTTGTCAAGATACATTTGTTACACTAAAGGATGTCTTCGTGTTATAGAAACAAAGCCATTAGAGCCAGTCCAACAAACACCCACACAGGTTTGTTTTCTTTGATGATGCATTTGTAGGCAACTTCGTTGTTCAGATCTCAGCTGGACGAGAGTCGGAAGAATTTCGTGATTTGAGGGACAGTTTCGAATTGTTGGCAAGTCAATGTGCTCAGTTGGAAGAAGCGAATCGTGCATGGCAAACGTATCAACAGAGTCAAGGGAGCGTTTTTCGTACTAAACTTGTTGATTATATTCCGATGGGTGAGAATCAATCGTTCGAAGAGATGGCACAGGTTATTATCGATCACATTGTGAAAGAACGCAATGAATTTCAAGAAAAGTACGCTGAATTAGAGAGATCTAGCGACATTTTTCGATCAGGTAACTAACTTTTTTTGTATTATGTATTTGTACGAATTTTTCACTTCGTTTCTAGAAGAAGAAACAGTCGGTACACAATCGGATGATCAATCTATGTCAGAGAGTGTTACTGATCTAAATCAAGAACTCGCTACACTCAAAAGTCAATGCGAAGAACTTGAGAAAGCTAATAAGCAACTTCTTTCCGAAAAAGGAGAATTAAACAACCCATTGGAAGATCGTTCAATAGTTGTTGGTCATCATTCAGCTGCTGACTTGAGTACCATCGATGAAGTCGTACGTAGAGGATACTACATTGAACTATTCATTTAAATATCCGTTCATTTGTTTAGACCGAAAGTCATTCGTTAATGTTTCCAATCGAAACTGATGAAATGCGTCAGATACGAGCTGATCTTGATTCGATGAGTTCTCAACTTGCTGAAATGAACGAATCAAATCAAAATGAACTCGATCTATTCATAGCTAAAGTACAAAGTTGGATTTCCCTTACTCCGAGTTCTACGTTGAACGAAATTGCTAATCAAATACACAAGCATTTCGAAGAACAAAAGGAAAAAATGTCTCAACGAACGGATTTCGCAAGTCAAACACCTGCTGCACCCGAAAACGTCCATGTTGCCGTTGAAACCATCCGACTAACGTACGATCATCACCAGACACAAACTGATTCAATTCAAGTAGCACATCAAAAGATTCAAACCGAATCATTCGAGCAATTACTAGCCGAAGTAAGCTATTTTCACTCCAAAAAAAGAAACGATCACGAATAGTCGGTTTCATTTTAGTCTGAAGAAAGAAATATGTTCACTGCTGAAGAAGACGACGAACGTTTACGAGATTATATAGATGAACTTTCTCTTACGCCAATCCAAGACCTTCCAGATCGTCTTCATAAAGAATGTCAACAGATTTTATCCAAACAAAATCTTTCTCCGTCGTCGTATACAGATCAAGATTTGAATTATCTCGCTCTTCTGACTGTGCATTTACTTTACAATCAACATCTAACTGATGATGCTAAACATCTTTATAATGAAACATTGATCCGAGCATTGAAACAGGAATATGAATTGATCAACAATGAAAAACTGGATTATATTGAGAAGTATCATTCACTCGAAGACAAACTTCGGCAAGAATTAAATCTCAATGAGAAGGTATATGATAAGCTGCAAAATAAATATGATGAACTACTTGAACAGAGTGAACTTGAACGTTTACATTCGAAGAAATCGATTGATGATTTAAGCGAGCAACATTCCATACGTGAGAAACAATTCGAATTCAATCTATTCAATTTACATCAAGAAAACGAAAAATTAAAACAAAGTATACATCAGTTAGAAGAATGTCAACAGAAAGTTTCAGTCGAAGACTACGAACAACTACGCCAAGACTATGATGAATTAATCAACGAAAATGAGCTATTGAAAGAATACAATTCACAAATGTATCAAGAAAAACTGCAGGATAACAAAGAAAATGGTAAGATTATTCTTTATGTTTCAACTTGAAAGACATAGAATTCATTTAGATGTAACGACAACGAAAGTTTCGCATGACATTGAAATTCAATGTTATTTGGTGGAAGAATTTCGACCGACTCAAACAGAAGGATCAGTATGGAATAATGATTGGGAAGAAGAACATACACTTCAGCATCCATCAACACACAAGTTACTGCTGGAAAAACTGTCAAAGGATGATGAAATCAAACGATTGAAAGCTATCATATTGGAAATGGAGCATGAAAATTCACAAAAACTTCAAACTACCCCACAACCAACAGATACTGGTATGATAATCTTTCTGTTCGAAAATTTCTACCATAGAATCTTCTTTTCTAGATTCATCTACTCATGATATCGGCATTCATTGTTCTCTTCAATCGCCGTCTACCTCTAGTTCAGCTCAAGCCGGCATGGAACATGAAGTCGACAGTACAATTCAAACCGATCTGGCTGAATCGGAGGAAAATGATTGGAACAGTCAAATGTCTACATTTGAAATCGCATCAGAAGTTGATAACATGACAACAGTTACGAGTGAACATCCTTTCAAACGCACTATGGATATGGAAACACAAACCGATGAGCCAGCACAAGAGAAATTAGTACAAGTGAATACGAAACTGAAACGCGCTCTACAAACCATAAAAGACAAAATCCATCAAGCAGTGTTCGACCAACCGGAGTTATTTTCGACAGCGGGCGATGATACAATTGAACGTCTCGACCATCTGATTGTTACCATCGGAAATCAAGCGACGCAAATTGAAGATTTTCAAAATGAACGTTTAGAATTGCTGGATAAACTTCAAGGAGCAGAAACATTATTGCATTTAAGGTTTGATTATTTTCAATACTACTCAGATGATTTGAATCGTCATCTTCATTTCAGCAGTCAAGAAAGAGTTGATGTTGTCGAATACGAAAATCAAATTCGATCATTGACATCCGAGCGTGATGATCTTCTTGAACGTAATAAAAAATTAGAAGATGAACTTCAAGAAGTTCAACCACATGGCGAGGCGTACGCTGAAATAGATTTTCTTTCTTCATCGAAACTTCGCTAAACATTTATTTTCATTTAGAGCGTCACCCGAACCTCGAAGTTCATCCGACAATTCCACCCAAACAGCTATCATTCCAGAGCAGCTAGCACAGGAAGAACAACAACAAACGTCATCACCAGAAAGTCCTAAACTCAAAGATCGTGAATCTTTAACTTTCACAGATCGTGTTTTCGGTTATCTTTCCACATCGGAGACGGTCGATATCGTCGATAATGAAACGCAAACCGATGAGCTTCCTCAAGATAAAATATCACAAGTCAACACAAAACTAAAACGTGCTTTACAGACAATCAAAGACAAAATCTATCACATGGTTATCGAAAGACCAGATCTATTCACGGAGACAAATGACGATACCATCGAACGTCTCGAATGTTTGATAAATACCGTTGGAAATCAAGAAGCGTATATTGAAAATCTACGAGCAGAATGTGGTCAAGCACAACGAGAAATCGATGAGCTGAAAGGGTAATTCGAACGAAGAACTTGACCCATAGAAGATTGCTTCTTTTCTGTAGTTTACTGAGAGCAAGTCGAGATGAACTTGATTATGAACGATCAGTACGAACAGAACAGCTCGTTTCAAATTCGGACGATAAAAAGTGAGAGACACTATCTTGATGATTAAATTGATCAATGTGTTCGGTTTCAGTTTATCGTTGATTGAAGATTGCCAAAGACAAATCCTTCAGCTTCACAAGAAACTCTCCTCGAATGAAGATGAACGTACTTTACTTCGCGAACGTCTCAATGAAGTTGAGCTTGAACTAAAAAAATCCACTGATAATCACGAATCAACGATCGTCATGTACGAAGAACAGTTTGCAACACTGGTTAAAGAAAGAGATCAGGCTGTTGAAGAAAATGCAATGCAACTATCAGAAAAGTAAGAGCTGACCTTTAACAAATCGATGTCTTTATACAATTTCGCTCAGATTACATGAGATTCAAAAGTTGCAAGAAGAATTAAACCAACTCAAAGAATCTTCCGCCGCAGCCCAAGTCAATCAATCATCATCGGAAGAAGAGTATGCTATCAGTGATTCGCGGGAGTGAATTGAAACCGATATTCGAATTTGTTTTAGAATAAAATCATTGCAAGAAGTCATCGAACAGAAATCGAATGAATTGAAAGATCTAACCGATCGATATCAAGCTCTTTCGTCTTTGCTCGATACTCAAAATGATGTGGAAAAACAAAAGTAATTCATCAAAAAGTTTCTCTTTATTAACTAAAACTTCATCGGATCAAAATAGGAAAGAAATGGAAGAACAGTTAATGCACTGTCAAAGCCAAATTGCATCTCTCACTCGTGAGCGTTCGCAACTATTAGAAGAAGTACAGAAGAATACGGGCGAAAGTGACAAACCAACCGACGCTCAACAATATGAAAAACTTGTGAAATTAAACAGCAAACTCAAACGTGCATTGCAAGCATTCAAAGATAAAATCTGCCGATTGGTTATTGCTCGGCCTGATCTATTTGTGAACATTGGCGAAGAAACGACAGAACGCTTTGATCACTTGCTCTACACAGTTGAACATCAAGCAACACGCATCGATTTATTACAAGCAGAATTGACAGAATCCGAAGAACTTTATCGTGAAAACATTCGAAAACTACAAAGGTACAAAAAGACCTACCATTTATGAAGGAAAGAATAAATTGATTGCGTAAATTTTCTAGTTCATTGGAAAAATATGAAAATCAACGTGACTATGGCCAATCAGGAACACAAGAGCATTTGGTTTTTCCCGCACCGACAACTGAACATGTCACTACTACAAGGTAACGACGAAATGCACGGAATGAAGCATCTCATATATTCTGAATTTCAGTACATCGCCTATGAAAGATTATAATAAACAAATCAAGAAACTTCGACAAAAGCTAACGGCGAATGAAAATGACCAAGCAGAGCTCCGTCAACGTCTGGATGAGGTTGAACTTGAATTGAAGAAGACATCGGATGAACACACAGCAGCTATTGCAAAATACGAAGAACAATTGCAAGCATTAGTAAAAGAAAGAAATGCAGTTATTGAATTACATGCTATTCGATCAGCAGAAAGGTAAAAATGAAAATATCCATTCGATTTCCTCCTTAAACTCATCTGTTTCTTTCAGTAAAAACGAAATCGAACATTTACAAGACGAATTAAAACAATCGCCCACTACTGGTCTTATCGATAGAGCTTCTCCGGCAGAGTAGGTTCAGTTTTTCTTAGGAATGTTTTAGCTTATTTTTTGTTCTCAGTGTGAAATCGTTACAAGATATTATTCAACAACAATCAGACGAATTACGAGATCTCAGCGATCGGTACCTTGCTCTTTCATCTTACGTTGAATCATACGACGATTTCGGTAGACAAAAGTAATCATTTTGCTGTTAAGATCCATTGAAATTTGACTACTGAGATGTTTTTGGTAATTATAGAAAAGAAATGAATGGACGCATTGCTGAATATGTCAGTCAAATCGAAAGTTTGATTCAAGAACGAGAGATACTTGTGGATGAAGCAGAAAAGAATGCAATTTTATTGGCACAAATCGATGATGACAAACGATCCGGTGATCATAATCATGAAAAACTTGCAAAAGTCAATCAGAAACTCAAACGTGCGCTGCAATCCATCAGAGATAAGATTCATCGAGTTGCCGATGAAAGACCTGAATTCTTCGAAAACGTCGGTGATGATACTAGTGAACGTCTCGACCATTTGATCTTGTTCATTGATCACCAAGCATCACAAATCAATGCGCTACAATCTGAACTTGATCAGTCTCAAGAACAATATCGTGATGAAATACGCGAACTGCAAAAGTATGCTAGAATGTGTAAAATATATCTCTAGAGACAAATTTCTCTTCATCTTTCAGCGCATTGGAAGTGTTTCAAACTCAAATCCACCGCAACCATCCATCATTGAAATCCGAACAGCCAGATCATGAAACTACGTCTCCATCGGAAATCTCGACTTATATCAGGTTCGCTAAATTAGAGCTTTTGTAAAACTGATCGTTTCATCTGATTTCGATTTTAGTTCATCTGTTTTTGAAAGTGAACAACATCAACCAGAAATCAATCAACTTCGTGAAAAGCTTTCGGCAAATGAAGATGAACGAAATCTCATGCGTAATCGATTGACCGATGTTGAACTGGAATTTCGAAAGACATTAGACGAATGCGCCTCGACATTATCAATCTATGAACAAAAAATACAATCGCTTGTGCAAGAAAGAGATGGATTAATTGAGCAGCATACCGTTCAATCTGCGGAGAAGTAAAAGCTTTGACTTTAGATTGGAAAGATTTATCGAAATATTATTCGTTCTAGCCAACGTGAAATCGAGCGATTACAGAATGAATTGAGTTTATCAAGACAACCCACTGCACCGGCGCACAAATCCGATGAGTATGCTATTTTCACTTGAGTTGCTTAACATATTTTCATACCATATCTCATCTGTGCAGTGATATATCAGCTCGACGAGAAATGCTCGAAAAACAAACAAAGAGACGGCAAGATGTCAGTGAAAAATATATGAATCTATTGTCTCAATTGGATTCAAATATCTATTTACAAACCGAACTTGACAAATTAGGGTAAAACTACTAAATGAAAAGACATTTTTCTGTATAGCTTTCATGCGTATTCTAGACGAGAAACCGAAGAACATCTAATGAACTATGAACGCCAAATTGAGAGCCTTGTTCGTGAACGTGAAGCTTTGCTAGACGAAAAACGCAAGAACACTTCATCAGCAGTAACGACAGCTGAGAACGAGAAGCCAGCCGGTGATCCTCAACATGAAAAACTTGCCAAACTGAACAGTAAATTAAAACGTGCTTTGCAGACCGTCAAAGAAAAAGTCCAACGAGTCGTTCTCGAACGACCTGAACTGTTTACCAATGTTGGTGAAGAAACAAATGAGCGCCTTGATCATTTGATTCATACCGTCGAAAAGCAAGCGACACAGATTGGTTTATTGCAAAACGATCTTGAAACCGCAGAAGAACGTTTACAAGAAATCATTCGACAATGTAATGAATCAGTTGAATTCTATCGAAAGGAAGCTGCAAAAGAACGGCAGTCAACACCTCAAGAATCTCTTACACCAACAACAGTAATCACGCGTAAAGTTGAACCAGACCATAGTGAACGTACGCAAGAGATTCACTCCAAACAAACATCTAATGACGATCAATGGAATGATTGGTCGTCAGAATCAATACATTGTGCTGATGAACGTGTTCAATTTCGAGATGCTGATGTTCAATGTGAACTACTTGTTGATCGACCACCATCAATACACGAAGTTTCCGAACTCACAGAAAATCGACCAGCATCAGTGACTAGTCGGTTGTTCGGTGCTCTGAGAAACATCGCTACGTCGCTATCAGAAGAACCATCTGTCAACGATTGGAATGATCAAAATTCTCCTTTACAGTTACCCGCCGATGGACAAGAGGCTCAACAACTCACTACATCGCCTTCGTCAACAAATAGTTTGATACACAACATCGCACATGATCTTCATCAAATTGTGGCTGAAAATCCAGATCTATTTCCTCATTCCTCAGGAGACATAGCTGACGACTTGAATCAACTCATTTTGATTATAAAGAATTTTCAAAAAGAAATCAATGAGTTACAAAAGTAAGTCGTTCAATGATGTAATTGTTACTATCGTACATGTACTTATGACTTCGTAAAGGATAAGAATGCAACGAAATAGATAAGGGAAGCAAAATTTCAACGTCCTGTTTTACTTTCGTTTAGTTCTGTCGATAAACACCAACAAAGTACCAACAACGAACGTCCAATGACCACGGATACTCTTCGAAATCCATTGATTAGGTAAAATTTAACCGTTGATTACTTTCGTTGATCAAATGTGCTTCATTCGTTTAGTTCATCAGTATTCGAAGATCACCAGAGAGAAATTGATGAATTAAAAGAAAAACTTCACCAGAATGGATTAACTTACCAACGAGAAATCGAGCGTTTAACTGAAGAACGAAATCAAGCTACTCTCAACTCATCAACTGCGATACAATCTCAAACGGATTTCAATGATAACAAGTAGTTGTCTTCTTTTTTTTTTGGTCATTCCAAACGAAAAACTGTTATCCTCTGATTTTCTTAGCAGTTTAATTGAAACCCGTTTGAGTGATTGCCAATGTCAAATCGATGTTCTTCTTCGTGAACGAGTTGCTCTCATGGAACAAATCAAACATTTAGCACACCAACCAACCAAACAGAACGTTGAAATTCAAACACTAAACGACCAACAACCGTAAATTGATTTCGTATTGACGATAACAAAAGAGTGATTTTCTTCTATGACATAGATCGACACCTTCAGAGCAACGCATTTCACGGCGAGTCTTCGAACAAGAAATGTTAGCTTGGTCGAAAGAAAGTGAACAATTGAAGCAATTTGTTAAACAAATTCAAGTCGAAAATAAGAAACTCAAAGATATCATTTTGAAATTTGAACGTTTAACACAAGATTACACCCAAGAAAATGAACGATTAAAGCAAGAAAACCATCATCTAGCACTATTATCATACTCATCTGTACAGTCAACGGATGAAAGTGTATCTTCGGATACTGATATCTGTTATTTAACATTGAAATGGTTAACTTACGAAGTTGCGGAACGAACATTTGATGGAAGTGAACCACCATCGATTACAGTCGATAGTAATGATCCGTATTTGAAACAACGACTGATAGACACCGAGCGACATGTAAGGAGAAGGAATTGATTTCGTTTCATCGAATCTGAACCTTGTTTGATGTAGTTGAAGAGTATTCGTATACAAAACCAAAAATTAAAGAAACAGCTGGAAACATACACAATACAATTTAAGCATATTCAACATGAAACGAATGTTAAAAATCAAGAATTAACGTTACTTAAAACAGAAGCTGATCGGTAATGAACGAGAGATGCGTTGCCTAATAAAGAATGACATCTATTTTAGATTACGGACAAGTGAAACACAGTATCGCCTAGAAGCTGACCGTCTGAAAGCAGATCTTCAATGTGATCAAGTGAAAATTCAACAACTAGAACGGGAAATCATCGATCTTAAACGTGAAACCAATCAACTAGATAACTACTCGACGAACGTATGTTCCTTTCTTTTGAGAAATACAAACAGCGAATGACTTTCGTTTATTCATAGAATCTTCGTGAATTACTTGAATTAAAAGAACGTGAATTGAATGCGCTCAAAGAGAAACTTGATTATACCATGAAAGCTCATCAACTCGAATTACAAGAAGCAATCAAAGCCAATCAGGTAGGCTCAATCGACAGTTGCAATGACGATGTTTCTCCCTCTTCTTCTTACTAACACACCATCGATTCTGTGCTTCACATGGAATGCTTATGAAATTTTACTGCACGTACATAGCTTGAACAATAGATAAACTCACTACTCTCTCTCTGTTCTTTTTTTATTTTTTGTTTTCATGACAATTAGTTCAAACTTAACGAGAGTATTCTTTGTTTGATTCGGTGATACATTTATATGTTTTTCTTATTTTAAGCTGTTTTTAACATGATTGGTTGTAGTAAAAGTGAACAAAATCCCTATCTAACTTATAATAAAATACTATCTTCTTTTTTTTTGTTTGGTTTTTAACGCATCTTCGCACCGTTTGCATATTAGTTTGCTTCTTTTTCTATTACTTTTCAGTGAGAGAAAAAGATAACATGCACTGATACGTTCATTTTAGTTTTCACTCGATAATGTTCAACGTTTCGAACAATTGGACCATCAGCATCAAACGAAACGAAAAGAATTGGAAACACGATTGGGTAAATTCTGTCAAATGATTCGGCCATTGATCGATAATCAACATTTATTCCGACAAGTACGACTTTTCTCTTCGATGTTTCTGCGTAGCTGAAATTAATCGATTGCTTCTATTTAGAATTCAATAATCGATATCAATGAACTACAACGTTTAATCACGGATACCGAAGCCGAAGAAAAAGTAACGAAGTAAGTTGAATAGGGTCGTATAAGTCAAACACTTTTTGATCTATCTCAGTTCACTCGGTGCAATCCGTGACTGTCTTGGTCTATTGGAAAATCAAATGAAAGATTTACATCATAATCTCATCGAAAATCATGCTCGTCGATCTTCAAAATGGAAATACACCGTCGGCTTCGAATGTTCGTCGTGTGATAGTCAATGGTATGTTTTCGCTTCGACGTTGTTACATCCATTGAAGTTTGTTTTGTTGAACTGGTTTAGGGAGGTGACGCATGATATAGAAAATTTACAAGAAGCTTGTCAAGATCCTGACTTGTTTCTTGAATCATCACTGGTTGAACCGATGAGTGGATGTTCGTGTCCACTCCCTGCTGATTTGATCGAAAGTGATGTTCAATTATGTTTGGATGATTTATTAGACGATGTTATCGTAAGAACGACAGTGAAATAAACATTATGTTCTTGCTGAAAGAAAAATTTTTGTGCGTTTGTTTTTATCTCCGTGTGTGTGTGTGTGGCTATGTGATTGGTGTCTTTCTTTCTCTCTCTCGCTCTGTCCTTTTTTGTTTTGACTGTTTAAAGCTTTGTTATCCGTTATTTAAAGCATATTCCTTTATTTATTTTGTTGATTATTAAAAGGAAAACAAAAACTGAACTGGGTGACACTTGAGCTCATGCACGTATGCGAAATGTGGTTTGCGAAGCATCAAATAGAATTCCGATTGAACGATCAAAATCAACTTGTACTTATTCTTTTCATTAATAACAATAAACATAGCAGAGGGAAGTATATGGAACAGTCGCTAGAAAACATTAAGCTAATGTATAAATTCACACTAAAACGAAGCCGAACAGACAGAAAAAGTGAATTAAGTCGAATATGAATGTAAAACGTTTGATTTCAGCACTGCAGAATCTGTTCGCGCGTGCGAACGGTCGTTTGGAGAAATTTTTGGAAAAATATCCTTCTGCACTGGAAACTTTTCTATTGCAATACGAAGAAGTTGATGCTCCGATATTTGCTTTCTATTAGATCATAGTGCTTGTTTTTAGCTAAATTATGCAGGCGAGGAAATTTTTCATTCTAGTAACAGATTCTGCACCTCTGAAAATAGCTACTGATACTTCGTTGTTCACTTCGAATTATCATGTAGTCATTGTCGTTGTATTTGAACTAATCATCGCTTTTTAGATGGCTTAAAAACTAATGTGCCAATCATATTGCTCAGTTTAATTTTGGCTTCATTGGTGTGTTTCTGTCCGTTTGTTTTGACCTAAAGCGAGGATAACAATGAATGCGTGTATATAATAGCCATTGTTGCATAGAAATGCGAGTCATATATTTAATTCGGAGAGAAACTTTGACTGATTTTCTGAAAAGAACGAAGAACGTTAGCTTATTGGATTTACATGATGAAATATTACTTCTTATTCTGCACAAATTAACTATAATTGATATGCTATATTCTCTTGTTAATGTAAATGAACGATTCGATCGTTTGGTATTGAATCCTAGGAATATATCTGATTTAAATTTGACAAATGATTCATTAGTCCATTATCAATCGACTTCAATGGAACAAGTTTTGGCTGAAATTCGTGACAAAGTGTTGCCGAGAATTCATGATCAAATAATTCGATTAAGTGTTCAGTCGATCCATTTGCAACCAAAGTTTTTTACTATTGATTATCCTCAACTTCGTTCATTGTCACTTGATGTTACACGAGAAACTCTTTTAGATAATCTAACAGGTAGAGTTCTACAAAGGAAAATGTTGAAGTTATATAATTGAATTGATGTAATATTTCAGATGAATCAATACTTCATCGTCTTCTTAGCACACGGATCGTTTCTTTTTCTGTTGCCATATCGTTGATGAAACTGACCAAAAACTGTCCAGTGACAATCCTATCGATTTCTTCGAGTTAATTTTATCTTTGGGCAAATTTTTAATAGATTTCTCATACAGATATTGGTTTCCTAGTCGATTTCGTCAAATTGATACATTAAACATCAGATCAAACAATACTATATGTTCAACTATAAATAAATTAACTATAAGAGTATCTACTTTCAATGATTGTCTTTATATTCTGAATGGATGTTTTACATCTTTAACTATATTGATTATTGATATATACGATATAATCGATTCTTCTCAAAAACTGGATAATACGGTAAGATTTATGCGAAAAAGTTTCACAATTCGAGAATTCTATTCATCTTAGAAAGCACTAGACAATTTGAAATTTGTTTCATTAACATCGAGCGGTTTTACGAACTACTATGACGATGGGATTGTTCCGTTGTTAAATCGAATGATAGGTCTTGAAAAACTTGTTTTATATTTGGCGGTTTTAAGACCAAAAGGATTACCATTCATAACTGAAGATGAATTATACGATGATTTTCTCGCCTCAATGCCGCTATTAAAGAAATTTGATTTTAGTATCCATACATTTCTATCTCAGCAATTTATCCCAACAAATATTCAAAATGATTCCATCCGAATTGGATACAAACAATCGGATTCATATGTTGATGAAAACTTCGTAATCAATGAATTCGCATATCATTTCTACTCGCTTCCATATTATTTCCAAGCTTTCCATCATTTAAACAATTCATTTCAATGCCAAGGTTACACATTTGATCAAGTTCGCTTGTTGACAATGAGTGATCAGAAGCCATACGAAAAAGAATTTTTTCGCAAAGTTTCTCAATACTTTCCTTTTCTAAATCATTTAGTGATATTTAATACCAAAGCACCAAAAGGGGAAGAAAATACATCAACACCGATCACATTCACACATTTGACCGAATTGAATCTTTGTAGATCACATCCGGACTATGCCAAACAATTTCTCTTAAAAGACACAACTGCTTTACCATGTCTAAAAAAACTGCATGTCGAATATGATTCGCTTGCATTACTAACAAACTATTTTACTCTTGATGTTGAAAATTTGAATTGTACTCATCTATCAAAAATTAAAATGCAGAAAGCATTTGTTCGATCGGAAAAGTTTCATTCATATTTTCCATTTTTCTAACATCATACTATTTCAATAAACTATTTTTTTCTACGATTATGAAGAATAAATCGTTTCTAGAAGAAAGAAAGCAACTCGATAGGAAAAGGAGCTATTCATTAACATTGATATTCGGAACAAATTAAGCAATTGCTCGGATATTGATCGACGTAATTATTGCTTCAGATTATGGAGACGAATAAAACTAATTCAAACTTCGTGATACAATATTTCCGCGCATTGTCTCGTTTGAATATGTTCATCATTTGAAATTTAACAGCAACGGACATCTACGTATGTTCTGTCCACATTTAATTTCGTGTCCTGCATTTTGTTTTTCTCTCTCGTATCTTTCGTATTTCATTTAGTAATACATGGTAATCATTTCATTGGCTTTCCTTTCTCGTTGTATATGTACTGTGACCATCATTGTTATACTGTATTTGTTTTTCTCGTGAATATCCACCATTTCAAACATAGTTAAATTTTAATACTGTTTGCCGAAGACTAGCCTGGAATGTATAAAGCATGAAACTATGAATCGATATTTCTGTTACAGATATTGTATCACCATCAACATTGAATCAATATGAGTGAACTCCAGCGTGCAAAGGATCGAGTAAGTGGAAACAACATTTGTGTGATTCATTACATGTATGAGTAATACATATCTAATTTGATTTAGTTAACAATTCTTCTACATGTGGAAAAAGCGCAAATCCGGAATTTGCACGAAACATACGACGCTCTTCAGCTAGCGAAGAAATCAAGGAAAAGAAGGCGACTTATCAACAAGAAAAAAAGAAATCTCACATCATTGCAGAAGCGGTTAATGAGGCCTCAGAAAATTTAAGAAAACTTAAGAGAAAATTGAAAACCGTTGAACAATCATCAGGTAAGGCTCTGCTTTTCTTTTAGTTTTAATTAATGATACTTATAAATTCATTATGTTTCGAAAGAAAATCCTCTCGAACAAATTTTCAATTTCAGAAAGACAATTTACAGTCGACAAAGGAAAAATTTCTTCGGGAAGAGAAGGATCGAAAATGGACTACGCCACTTGGAGGCCAGTGGGATGTGATGACGTGTATGTTCCTTTCTTCCCAGCCTATTTATGCCCTTCAATTCATGCTAAATGTTTACAGGTCGACAACGCACCGCGGTGAAAAAGTGAGTAGTGTAGAAATCGTTAACTCGATTCGAGTATTGAAACTTCCTTCGAATTCTAAAACTTATAAATCTAGAACTCGAAGCTTCGAGTTTTCGAGTATTCAAGTTTTACACTGCTACCCAACGCCCACACTCTCACCCTCACCCACACCCTCACCCGCATTCGCCGTCGTAATCAGTTTGCTAATAATTAATAATCAGTTAGCCAATAATTGATAATCAGTTAGTTATTTTATAATTATCGTTTAATTAGTGGATATTTAATAGCCAATTAGTTAAAAGTTGAAAACTCGAAGCTTCGAGTTCTAGATTTATAAGTTTAAAAGTTGAAAACTCGAAGTTGAAAGTTTAATACTCGAACTTTATGTTCGAGTTATACATGTATGGGTCAAACGCACTAAATCCAGTCATCGAATCTGTTCACAGGAACACTGCTACCATGAAGCGGTCGAAGCCCTCTAGAACAGATCGGACCCTGTTGCACATGGAAATCGCGCAAATCCGAAGTTTACACGACGCACATGACGATCTGAAACTGCCGAATAAAAACTGCAAAAAGTGAACAAAAGCCATCTAACTTATAATAAAATGCGATCTTGTTTTCTTTGTTTGATTTTTAACGCATCTTCGCACAGTTTGCATATTAGTTTGCTTGAAGGTGTGTGTATCTATGTGATTGGTGTGTTTCTTTCTCTCTCTCGCTCTATCCTTTTTTGTTTTGACTGTTTAAAGCTTTGTTATCCGTTATTTAAAGCATATTCCTTTATTTATTTTGTTGATTATTAAAAGGAAAACAAAAACTGAACTAGGTGACACTTGAGCTCATGCACGTATGCGGAATCGTTATTTGAACGAGAGAAAAGTATTTTTTCCCTTTAAGGAAAACGTCTATAATTACCGAAAGAAGAGTACGAGTACAGTTTAATTACGCTCTCAGCCTCAAAAGACTACCCTCAGATCGTCAAATTCTCACATTCTGCGAGGAGGTGAAGCACGATAGTGTGGCGGAATCGCTTTTGTTAGAGAGACTATTCTCATATAATGTATATCAGAAGAACTGAATGTTGCGTGATTGACTTGTATTAACATTGATAACATATATTTGCCGTTATCTGAGTTCTCTACTCAGGTACCTTTGAACATGGCGATATTTGTCTGAGGACATCCTGAAATGGTGCGAGATTAGACCAAATTGCTCATAAATTTCAAACCCGAGGTTTCTTAATTTGTTCTATTCTTATAACAAACGATGTTGATGGGGGTCGCTATTTATTCTTCGACACCGCTATAGGATATCATTCACCAGTGTTCATTCTCATGTCCTCTCTATCTCTCGCACAATCAACTGTCTCCTAGCACCAGCAAAAACAAAACGCATTTTTCTTCACCAGGACTCAATATTTAATTTCACGTTCGTCGTTATCGCTTTTGGGGCGTCTGGTGTGACCATGTAAGATCTTTAGGATCTAGTATTCAATAATTTCATCTCACAGAGTATAGTTATGCTCGCCACTGAACAGAGACGAGTTTGAAAAGTCTCGTAATGAGGTGTAAGTCGTTGGAAATGATATAAAAAGGATAAAGGAAACAATTTCAATGTGTATATTCCATTTCGGTTTGCGTAAGCGGAAACATTTATATATTAGAAGTAAATTTATATACAGACGAAGATAGATTCATATTTTCATTCGTAAGAAAGAGAGACAATCATTCATAAATCGAAAGAAGAGGACAAGATGGAGAGCACCGAATTGAATGGCAAAAGAAGACGAAAATGTACGGAAGAAAAGTAATAGAGAATAAGAAAAAATAATCTTTCGTTTAGGCTTGCATTAGTTTCTGTCCGGTATGTCCTGTTGCTGCCGCTGGGGGCGCAGCTGTAGTAGAATGTGAAGCCTTACTTGTAGGCAGATGATGAGGTGATTCTGATGGCTTCACAAATGCTTGCCGTGTTTGACCGGTCATTTGTAAGTTTCCATGTGAGTGATAATTCACAGCATTTTGCTTATGGATCGTATTCGATGTTGACGGGTAAAATCTCAATGGCGGAGATTGCTGATGAGCAATTGGTGACCCACTTTCGACATTTTTCGATGATTTACTACTACAAGAACTAACACGAGAATGTAAAGCGGAGTTCTTCAAAAATAAACCAATTGCTTTCACAGTTACTGATGGAGCTAAAAATACATAGATAAACAAAAACAATAAGATTATTCATCGCAAGAAAAATCATGTTCTTATGAATGAAACCTCTTAAATTGAAAGTCTATTATTATTGTTATTATGAATTTGTATTTTTTCTTTTACTTTCTACCTCATCGATTTTAATAATCTTTGAAAAAAAAAACTTAGATGGCTTGTGCACTTTCGTAAAAAGTCGTTATGAAATCGACGAAGAAAGCAATAGAAATAATCATTAGTCGAACCAGCGAGAAAACATATTTTGTACGAATCAAATTTTGCCAAACGGTTGAGATGGGGATAAAGCAACAACAATCAGAAACAAATTATAACATACCAGGGTTATATCGCACCGGCGATTGTGGCTGAGATCGTTTCAGATATTCGACGTTTGATGCACGGCTAATTGTCTTCGGCGTTCGAGTACCACTAGCTAATGGATCATGTGGCAAATGAAAACCATTTTGATTTGCATGATCTAGGGTAGAATTAGGTAGACTACGTGGTTTCAATCTTTGTTGAGGAGGGGATTGTTGATGCTGAGGAGTAACGACATTCGTGCGTTGACCGGTTATTAATGGTTTTATCGCTGATAAACTATTCGGATTATGCATACGTTTCGAATGATGATGATGCTGTTCATCTGATACTTCAGTTGCATGCACGTTTGCGGAAGGTTTGCGTAGAATAATATCCTGAAATAATTTCCGTGAGGTTAATTTTGGTGTTGGTACCAGTTCATTGAATGCTTCTTGTGTTAAACCACCTGTAATGATATTTCCGTTTGTATTTGTATGCAGTAGAACTTGTTCATCAAATGTATAGTTTGTTCTATCACGTGAGAATTTCCGTCCGTTGGTGACTGTAGAAGTACCAATGGGTTGCTGTTGTTGTTGGGGAAGAAAATTGGATGGCGCACGGCGACTAGGCAATAAGGGTTCATTATGAACAAGTTTATCGAGCACAACAACATCTGATGCACCATCAGGTAATGATGCACCAACTGTTGTTGAAAGTGATGAATGTCCATTAAGTGGATTATTATAGGTCGCATCAGGCCAACCGAGACCTTCTTTGAGACGTCGTTCTATTAAATTATATAGGGCACGCGACGCAATCGGCTTACGATAAAGAACAGCTTCTTCAACATCATGCTCTGAGTAGCCGTGTCTAAAAAAAGAGTCGTTTCTTTTTTCGTTCTCATCTGACAAACGAAGTTACTTGACAGAGAGATATTTGATTATATTTCGATTAATATCTCCGACATCAGTAACTGGTTTAAATGGCATTAATTCGATAGGTCCATGATGATTTACGAGGAATGGATGACGAAGAATTTCAGCCATGGTAATTCGTTTGGTTGGCGACGGTTCTAACAATCGCGTTAATAGATCTTGACAATCTAAAGCAAACATCATTGACAATTAACGATAAATCAAATCTCAGTCGAACTTCTTACCACGGGAGAGAGTATTCGGAATTTCGCATCCTTTTAATATACAAGCATGCAGTTTTGCCAGATTTCGACTACGATGCTCGACTTTAAATGGAAGTTTACCAAGTAACATGGCATACATATTCACTCCAATACTCCAAACATCGACAGCTGGCCCATACTCTTGGTGAGCGAAGATTTCCGGAGCAGCATAACTAAACAAATAACTTATAAATATTGTTTCTATTTGTATGTTCATACGTACGCAGGTGAACCACATTGTGTCATAAGAAAACCTTTTTCATCGAGACAGTTACTTAGACCGAAATCTATAAAGAAGAAAACGATTCAAGAATGGAAATTCGTCGAAAAACTATCGCTGTCTACCAATGATAACAATATCGTTATTTTGATCGAGCATGAAATTTTGTAGTTTTATGTCACGATGAATCACGCGTGCTCGATGCATATGATCAACGGCAGAGACAATTTGTCGAATATATTTTCTTGTTTCATTCTCATCTAATTGCCTCCTAGAAAATCAATTTCAAAGACAATATATCAACTTCATTCACATCGCTTCATTACTTCTTAGTTAAGTACTTCACAAACTCATTTCCTTGTACTAAATCCATAACAATATAATATGAATTCTCTGTTTCCATCACTTCGTGTAATTGAACGATATTCTTATGACACATGCGCTGCATCATTGAAGCTTCACGACGTAGATTAGCTCTGAGATAGTTACGTTTGAATACTTCACGTTTATTGATAACTTTTACAGCAACCTAAATCGAATCGAAAGTATATAGTTGAGCATGATTTTCGCTATGAAAAACTTACTTTCATTTCTGTTATTAGATGAACACCTAAGCGCACTTTAGCAAAACTTCCTTCACCAATCGTTCTTAAAATGACGTAGTTGCCAACTTTTTTTCGTTTTTCATCTGATGACATGTCAGGTGTATCTGTGACCGAGGCTTTATCAGGTGTTGTCGTGTTATTCGAGTCTTGTACCATATTTATGATATTAATAAGAACATAAATGATGCAAAAACGAAGCTAATCAAGATTGTCGATAAAGCCTAAAAATCGAGAGCAATTTATGAAATCCGAACTATTATTTAGTCTGCTATCTTTGATAATAATCTGACAGCAAGATGATGTGTAGCAAAATACGTGCGAATACGAGGAAATGAATTCATAGAGGTGAAAATAAGTATTTCCTGAAAGTGTCAACCTTCGTCGTTTCTATTCGCAAGGTTCTGATAATTACCATGTTTGAATACACATACACGCGCATTGACAACGAACTTTGCTCAGACAAGCGATAGCGAACGGGGAGATTTGTCATCACAAGGGTACTAATACTAATAAACGAGTTTTTGTTTATCACTGTGTACATAGAGAAAAAGGAGGAAATATGAACAACGAAGGTTAAATCTTTGCCTTCCCTATCTTCTTCTCTTTCTTGACTTTTTGACAATTATTAATTACACATCTCATTCTCTCTTATTGAATCCATTAGAAGAAGAAAAAACTCCCGTTTAAAGAGTTTTTCTCAATAAACATCACTGGTTAAAAGAGTAGAGATGTGTAATAAACGTCAGAGAAACTCGTGTCATATGTTATTATGACGATCATTACTGTTATTATCAACGGAAGACTTTCTTCGTGTCTAAGTTAAATTTATTTGTGTATACGTACGAATGTCAAAAATCGCGGAAGGGAAAAAACAATCGAATAGGCAAAATAAAAACAACAACAACAAATGACGGGCAGTGCTGTCAGACGACTTTTTTCACATGCTAGAATTCTTCGCCAACGTGTAATCACAATAGCTAGAGCAGAAAAGGACAACGACGGCGACGCAAGAGGGATGCGAGAGTCGGCATACTGTTGTGCCGTGTTGATTTTTACTCTTTTCTTTACAATCGATCACTCGTTCTTACGTTGTTCAATTTTGAACGTCTTGCTACTTTTTTTTCCTTTATGATCACTGATGAAGTCTTTATCGTAATAGAATATACACAGAAGCGATTTGTACGACAGATGACGAAAGAAAGAGAAAGAAATCAAGCATCTATTTGAACACTCTTAGTCTTGATATTCAATAGAGAACAAAAGAACGAAGTGCGACAGAAGAGACACACGTAGAATGGTGGGTCAATGTAACCGAATTCAATTACCAGAGAAAATTATTCGAATCTACACTCGTAAACCTAGTCGCACAGAACGTGTTTTCTTTTTTTTTTGTACGTACTTGAACATCTGTGTATATATTGAACAAACGAGAACAATGATTACTATGTGCGCTACTGAGCAAAGTAAAAACTTTACTTGAAGTACGAATGAAAGTATTACGAATCGTTTTCGTTGGCAAAATAGTAACGTTTGTTTATTTGGCTCTTGTTTTAAAACTTCAAAGATAATCGCTCCTTTCATTATTTCTCTTCCTCCTTTGTTTATATTATTCTTTATTTCTTAGCAGAACGCAAAAAGGACAAACATTTCTTATGGTGCGTATCGTCAGAACTTTTCACTAACGATTCTCACATTCATCGCCGAATGTTTTCCAATTGTAAATAACAACGAGCCGATTGATTCTTACCTGTCGCGTAATATCGCTAATGTGTATATGTAATACATAAGTAAATGCCCCCGAATTCTTGTTAGACTCAATAAATAAAAGCCAGTTCATTTCTTTTCTCCTACTCTCATCCATTCTTCCAACGCGGGGGAGCAAGAAAAAGGGAGAAAATGACGTAGTGAGATGAACAAACAAATAATTCGAACATGATCGAACGAACCAGCTTACATGTAACATTGGACAGAACACACTTTAACCACTAGTATTCAAGGAGTAATCTCTCTCTCTCATTCGCATCAGCTACTGTATACATAACATAATCACTCTTTCGCTTTTTTTTCTTCTTCTCGCTCTATGAACGATAATTGCTCAATAAAAATATGTGTGTGTGTACGTGAACAGATTAAATCAAACAGACTAGCTATTAACATAAAACTTGTTGATTTTAACAGATGTCTGAGTTTTGAAAATGTCCTATTCGGCCTTATGTATATCAAAACAAATCAATGTCAATCAAACGGGATTGACTTTCGATTTATTGGATGATTTCTCGAAGATACTCGTATTGACATGTACAATTTTTCTTTTACTTACGATTAATGCAAATTTGAAGTGAAAGACGACAATTTTTTTAATCCGAATAAAAAAGAATGATGAAGAAAAAGAACATTTTATTGAGAATTTTCGCTTTTTTTTTCTATTACATTGTGCACCGAACAAATCTTGTGTGGTTTCTTTTCGATTACTTGAAATATTCAATCGATGAATTTTTCATTCGAAGCGAATTTTTAAGTAGAAAAGGTCTCATGAAATTTTCCATTCATTTAACAGCATTTATTTTCAACATTCGTTTCGCGAAATTCGTTCATTGAACAAAATTGTATTTTTCTGTTGTTAGATGTCTTATTAACAAAATTTGACATTTGTCTAATCTTAGTCATATTGAATAACAATCAATCGCATAAACGATGTTAAAGAACATCCTAATGAACATGTTCACGTCAGTTCAAATAATTGAATTATTGGGTATTGATGATCCAGGAATTCTTGTTGTAACTTACAATGTGTCGTCTTACTTTTCTGTGTGGGCGTTCCAATGCAGAAAAACTCAACCAGCCTGTGTAGAGAGTGTTTTGATGTTGTTATTAGAAGAAGGAAAAGGAGTAGAAAAGAACGTATACAACAATTAATCATGGTAGTTTTATTTTCGAGCCCGAATGTATCTTCATAAGATGTTAATTGTAGTCTTTTGAAATGACTGACGTCATTTCAACTAATGTCATTTGAAGTCACGTGAATTTTATGTCGAGTACAAAATGGATTAATCTCGTATGAAAAGCTGAGGCTATTCTCAGAGAAACTCAGTCTCATGATGAATTTGTGATTCAATTCTCATGGGATAAGTGATCTTTTTTGCGTATTTCATCTTACACGAATGTTTCGTTCTACAAAAACTGACGAGAAATTATAAATAACTATACTGACGTTTCATTTACACCATATAATTCTACACATTGTATGTGTTTAGATAAATAGTCGTATTATCGACTGTTTAATCTCGATCTGACTACCGGTTCGCCCATAGCGAGACTTATCATTTTTTGTTCAAACATAACAATCACGATTTTCAATAAACCGATCTTGTCTCATCAAATCTATACTTCCCAACGATTACGTCTCATCTTGAAAGATTTATGAGTTAACGAAGGAACACTCTGCTCTATGTACACAAGTCATTTCATATTCCTGTTGAGTATGATACTTTGGTGCACATTTCTAAAAATATTTCATTTCCTCTCAAGAATATTTTTAGAAACTCGCTTGAAAGTTTTCCAAGTTGGTAGACCATTCTTTCTTCAAAAAAGGGATGTAGCACACATCTTTCCTGAGCTTTTATGGGCGATAGGACTTCCCGCAGAGAATTCTTTAAATAAACTAACCCAGTTAGAAATAAAATCTTTTACAGTTTCTGCACATGTTTGTCGTACCTGATCTACTTGTGGCGAGGTTTTATTTATCAGAAATGATTATTTTTGACATTTTACTTGAAGACCAATCCTGTCTTGAACAAAGCAAATTTTTTTAACTGATTAAGCGTTGAAAGGTTCGTACCATAGTTAATTACTTTCTATCAGCTTTATATAATACGTCATGTTTTAAGACTTTCCCTGGACGGACAAATATATGTCATTTCGCTTTCTTATTCATCTATACCGATTCAAGAGTGGACAATTGCCATTAACTGAATTCACACTTGAATATCTGCAAAGAATTGTTTACGAGAAAATGAAATTGTACCTGCTCATCTCTTGCTACGATATTCTTCGCGCACACTGACTAGCCTTTGGAAAAAGACAGAAATTAGTTTTCATTGTTGACTGATGAACAAACGTTAATTCAGGTGAATAAAACGTAGTTTTTCCAACGGGATTAGCCTGTATTTATAAATTACCGACGGATCACCCTTTCGAACCGCTGACAGATTAATCAGCTTTCTGCTAAGAGCTAGTTGGATATTAAAATTCTGAACACTTAGCGCTTTGTGCTGCAGAAAATCAAAAAGCAAGAATAGAACATGTCGACCAATGTAACCATTCTCATTGCATCCATACAAAATGCATCAACCCAACTAAATCGGTACTTCTCAATTGTTATCTTCATTTTCGGTGTCGTTGGTAATGTGCTCAACTGCATTGTTTTATTTCAACAAAAGCTTCGCACAAATTCTTGTGCGTTCCTACTTTTAATTTCATCAATATCCAGTCTTATCTCTATTCTATCTGGTTTAACCACTCGTATGTTATCTGGTTATGCCGTAGATCTAACAAATACAATCGACTGGTTATGTGAACTCCGTGCATTCGTTCTATTTGCTTCACGAACCGTGGCATCTTGGCTATTAGCATTTGCCAGTGCTGATCGATGGCTTTCATCTTCAATTAATCACGTCTATCGACGAAAAAGTTCTTTGACAAATTCTTATCGCTCGACTTGTATTGTAATAGCATTTTCAGCTCTTTTGTATGCGCAGGTATTCTATTGTTACAAAGCAAATTTACTCACCACACCATTGAAATGTTATGGAAGAACCACCGTATGTCGTATAACAACGGATCTATCCTATGCAATCATTACAATTATTGTACCAATTATCGGAATGATCACGTTTGGATTGAAAACTGTTTCCAATGTTAGAAATTCTTACCGTCGTGTGATGGTTGGACCAGCAACCGACACAGCAGTAGAAACAATGAGGGCTGTCACTGGCTCACAGCTAGGATGGAAAAGATCTGATTTTCATTTACTAGTGATGCTTTTAGTGCAAATTGTCTTGTACAGCTTTTTCACACTACCACAAGCCGTTCAGAAAATCTATTCAACATTTACCGAAGAGCAAATTAAACCAGCTCTACAAAGCGCCGTCGAAAACCTCATTTTCAATCTTCTGTTACTTTTAACTTATTTTTCCAGTGCAATGCCATTCTATATCAACATACTGTGTGGTGGAAAAATATTCCGTCGAACATTTGTCGATGTCGTCAAAAGACTTTGTAAAACTTAGTTGACATCAATTGTATAGTTTTTCAATGTTCAAATAGAGTTATTGAAAAGATCGTATTTATTTAAAATAAAGAAATAGCATATCTCTCTTATCGACATCCACACTCTTGTACAATCATATCTCGATGATATTTAATAATCAGTTCATCACGATCATAGTAGAGTAAACACAGCGGCTTCAATCGAACAGGTACACAGGATGGCTGTTGTCCGTATTGTCTTTGCGAACGCATTAAGCTAAGTAATATAGCATGGTTTGATGGGTAGTATTGAGGTGATAATGGATTTGGACATGAGCCAGCACATGTGTAGGCATTGAAACGTTTTGGTTGAACAATCCATTTACCGAATGAGAACTGATTGAAATCAATTTCATACTCATGTTTTGCACAGGTCATTGCTGGATTCGTTGGTAAGATTGTTCGTCGATAACGTCGTTTTAGATGTTGAGTAGACGAAAATGAGAATAGATTTTTATTCGATTTTGTATAATAGAACACGGACAATGTTTGATTTTCTATCATCTCATTGGGAAATGTGAGATAGATCATACGTTGATGATAATTGTGTAAAAATCGAGTAAGATCGTAGGATTGAGTACTATTGGATAGCAATGGTAAGCGATATTTTCGATGGTAACCATATTTTCCCAATCGAACGTGGATATTGGACACATTGCATCGTAATTCAATCAAGGCAATTTGTTCATTCGGATTCTTTTTTATTCGAATACCCAACCACCGTTGATTATTTGTCACTAAAAAGAAAAAAATTCGAAAATGTCTTCGAACGCAAGTATAGGAAATTTGCACATACATTGGTAGGAAACTGTTCGCACAGTGTTGATATTCTTCAATTTTGATTGTGTATTGATGTCAAACGATGTAGCTTTTATGAGTGAACCAGATTGAGCAATTTTATTGTAGAGATCAACGATTGTTTCCGATTGATTGGCAAAAGTATAGGAAATAGAGCAAAAGATTCCAATAATTAGCGTGACACGAAACATTCTTTGAGATCATATGAGAGAAGGAGAGCCATCTCGTTTGTTTATATACATTCAAGTTGGATTAACTTTCTCATTGGGCCACCTCGGTGTGGAGAGAAGGAGAAGAGATAAGAAGATATACTCATCTTCTTCTCCTCGAGGATATCTTGTTCATGCACGCGTTTATTGATAAAAGAGAAAGGAAAAGACCACCTCGATTTGAATATCAAGATAAGATGAACATGTTGAAAAACAAGTTTATTCGCAATGACAAGAAAAATTCTTTAATTTTCTCACTATTCAAATTAGTTAGTTATCTGCCAGATTTGATAAAATAATCAGCTAAATTGTTTGCTATTCCACGAATACACACACACACGATAAATATTTCCATTGATAAAGAAAAACAAAATGAGAATAACATCGTGCTATCATTCCTGATTGAAACGATAGGAAAAGATCATGACGAATTATTGACGTGTCGTCATAATTCGACTTTCGTAATAGAGTGTTTAACAAGCGATGACGTTAATCGGTACGATTTAATTTTAATTTCTTTATGTTTTGTAACTACAACAGATATGACTAACACATCGATAAGCATGACTCACTTCTTTCTTCTTATCGTATAAATGTGAATTCAGCGAAGAGATTTGCCATCATTTGATACGATAACGAATTTCTTCGAATGGCGACAGCAACATCAGATATGTCTTTTGAATCCATGCACGGCCAAGCTGGAGACAGCAATTGGAAGTTACCACAACTTGTCGTGGCAAGTACCAGAAAAGCTCGACCGGATATGCACGGCACCATCGATGCAAGCGAATACTTGGATGACGATACTGTGCTTAATGCCAAACTCGATATCGTTGTCTCTTTGATTCAGAAAAGTAAACAATTTGTCGTTTATACGGGTGCGGGAATCTCGACCTCATCTGGTATTGGTGATTACGCATCAAAAGCATCCAATTCCATTGTCATGCAAGAAACAAGTGTCAATCGTTTGAAAGCTAAACCAACGTTGACGCATCATGTGTTAGTCGCACTGGAAAAGAAAAATCTATTGCAACATTGGGTACAACAGAATCACGATGGTTTGGCGCAACGGGCTGGTTATCCGCAAGAAAAATTGAATGAAATTCATGGATCTTGGTTCAACAAAAAGAATCCTGTTGTTTTGATGGATGATAAACTTCGGCCTGATTTACATAAATGGATGTTAGAATGGGCAGAAAAGGCAGATTTGGTACTAGCTATGGGATCATCGATGTGCGGTATGGAAGCGGATGTAGTTGCAACCAGTGTAGCTGAAAGAGAAGGAACGCTTGGTCTGGTTATCATTAATTTGCAAAAGACGCCTCATGACCATTTGGCAAAAGTACGAATCTTTGCCCCATGTGACAAGGTGATGTCTATTTTGGCGCGGAAAATGAAACTAAGAATCCCCAAACTATTGTAATCATTTTTTTTTCTACTTTTCATATTTGAATTTTGAAATAAAGTACACTTCGACCATTATAAATATATGGTTCACGCATGAGTGTTTACTGAATGAAGGTAAGAAAGGAAGGAGAAAGAAAAAAAAATATAGTGATAAGAAAATGTCAAATGGGTGACTACTTGCGTAAATAATGTTTTCATCGTTTAACATTCATTTTGCACTCTTAGTTTCATGTATAATATTTCTTATTTCAATTTATTCTTATCTTCAACATCTTGAAAATGATCACACACTAATTCCATCAAGTTTTACCGTGTCATTATCAACTGCAGAGAGTTCTTCCATCTTGTCTTCATCACTGAGTGTCACAACAAGGCAATTTTCAAGCATTCCTGATGAGCAATCTCTTCGCGAAAAAGTTCTTCACTCGCATGAAAAAGATCCGTCGATGTTGAGTCGTTTTACGTTTATTAATCCGCCCGAATCGATTTGTAATTATCCAAATGACACTGAACAGTTTATGATCATTGTTGTTCTATCACGTGCGATTAATTTCGATTATCGTCATGTCATACGCGCAACATGGGGTCGCAATGGTAAATACAAAAAAAGTAAGATTCACATTCAGACAGTGTTCTTCGTTGGGACGGATGATCATGCTCAAGCAGCTGTACGAGATGAACAGGTACTATTCCACGATGTTGTAGAAGTCGGTATACCGGAGAACTATCCATTCGTTGCTCACAAAGAGTTAGCATCATTACTATGGACTCGGTATTATTGTCCATCGGCTCGTATTGTATTTCGTGCAGATGATGATATTCTATTAGATATATTTCTCTTGTTAGAATACATTGAACAAGGCGTGGATTTTCGTAAGAAAGACGGTCTCTACGGGTGGTTTCGTTTTAACAATACAGTGCATCGTGCAGATAAGTGGGCTGTAACTAAACTTGAATATTCATCGACTATTTACCCTCCATACACATTTGGTATTGGTTATTTGTTTTCTAATGTATCGTGTCAACGCCTTGTTGACGCCGCCAATCATCCCAATCATGAAATTATACGTATTGGTGATGCTTATATAACAGGAATATTACGCGAATTAGCAAATCTTCCATATTATGATTTCGATGATCTTCAATATGCGTATACATTCTATGCAGAAATTCCGTGTGAGGAATATTTCGAAAATAATCTAGATCTGTTGATATGTATGTCAAAGTTACATATTGGTCTACGGGGTGATCCGTATCAGTTCTATGATGCATGGGATGTTATTTTAGAAAGAAATAATTTATCATTGTTAACTATATGAGTATGATTATGAAAGAAAATCCTTTGTTGAAATAAATTTGAACGCTTTCTTTGAAGTACAATTATCGATGAAAATAAGTGACGATATAGGTAAAAAGATTGCAATGCTTGTTAGGTTTCTACCGAGCATGATGTCCGACGATGAAAACTCTGAATTGTATTTATGTGCTACATATATCATGTTCTTTCTTTTCAATGCAAAGTATGATAAAGTCAAAATGCGTTGAATAATCGTCAAGAAAAAGGTAATTTATCTTATGTACGTGAAGATTCACGTTTATTTATGGTGCGCGACGGCGTAAAACCTGGAAATGATCCATATTTCTCACACTATCAACTCGAGTACTAAGGACATTCGGAAAATGATTTTTTTCAATGATGCGTAACTGCGACAAAAATGTCATCGACGAACTGATTTCTTTCTATCATTAAACTATTCAGCTGTCAAGTACTCCAATGTACAACTCACTCCCTTATTCTCGAAGTTTAGAAACATTCATTGTACAATGGTTTTACAAAGGAGAGAAAACGAAATATCAACGAAAGTTTGACATTTATCAAATTTATCGAATGTGCACTTGTATGTTTATCTTACTTCTCATTGTAATCATCAACTCAATGAGTTCTTCGACAATATCGTCCTATCCTGGCGTATCAGGAATTTATACCGTATACGGCGGAAGATATTTACTAGAAAATGAGACATTGACGCTTAACGTATATGATCTTGCGTCACAAAATGTTTACATTGACATCGGTTGTTTTAATGGTGAAACGATCGAACATTTTATTCATTTTACTCGAGATAGTGTTTTATATGACATAGTCACGTTCGAACCTGATCCGATAAATTATCGTTTATGTAAAGAGAAATTATCACAGAAGAAGTATCGAGATTATAATATATTTATTATTCCAAAAGTCGTGTGGATATACAATGGCAAAGTTCCATATCGAGTTGGTCAAGGACAAAAAAGTGGCATCTATGAAAAGAAATCCAAGAAGAAATGTATTATTTTCTAACTTACTACCGATATTCAATCTCAAAGTTTCTTTTTGTTTTGTAGCAAATGTAAATAATATAATGGAATTAGATGCCATTGACTTTTCTGCTTGGCTTTCGACATTCGTTCAATCAAATGATACAAAGGTGCATATCAAACTGAGTATGCCAGGTTACGAGTCTCAGTTTCTTCAGAAGCTGGTTGTGGATGAGACCTTAGGAATCGCTTATCAATGGGATGTCGAATGGGCATACAGGAGTGATCCTCATTTATTTACGCAACGTATTTATCTGCAGTTAATGTTCGACTCGTTTGGATTCACTTGTGAAAGTTTTACATTGCTTGACGATGTACGACATGCATTTAATGCCGGACTTCCATATGAAAATGTCACGAAATATTTCAATTTAAAAGTTTTACCAGACTCCGATACATACACTCATTATGTTCAACGACCTTCAGTTACTGAATCGCCACGTCTGTGGACAACTCGAGTGAATTCGAAGAAACATTGAGAATGTTGTTTATATTTATTTTTAATGCTAATAATAATAACAGAAAAAAACAAAGAATTGATTGTTGTTCTGTTTGTCCTAATAGTTTTTCTTCTCAACTAGATCGTGGATCATAGTAGTCAGGTAATGGTTCATCGGGACCAACAACTGGACGTATTAGCCATGGACGTTTATAATGTTTAAAATTAATTTTAAACATGAGGTATCGTATTCGAGTGATCAAGTCAGAATATCGTTGAGGTTGATTTTCTTCTAGATACTTTCCTTGCAATTTCAGTCGACGAAGTAAATGTTGTAATTCATTCCCTTGAAAACCACGTAACCAAAACGGAGCGTTACGAACTAACTGCCAATGTTCGACATTCTCATCGCCAAGAATATCTAAAATTAACATGACACTCTCCACATATTCACAGTTAAATCGATTCTTACCAATATAATCATTCTGTCCAAACGTCGATGCTTCTAAACTCCATTCATTTGGATCGATAAACGGTGGTAGATAATCCGGTGGATCTTTTAGATGAGATGCTCGTGGAAGATAGCCTGAAAGCAATGTTTAATGTAGTTGCGAAAAAAAACTAATCAGGATTGTGTGTCACCTCCTTGATAATACTTTGGTTCATGACCGTAATTCTTCACATATTCTCCAAATCGTTTAAACGTTCGTATAGAAATAATCAAATGACTACTGGAGATTGTTCTTTGTAGGCACGATTGAATGAGCATATCTTGAAAAAAAAAAGAAAAGGAAACCGATCAATTTTGTTCATAAGATTACTCCGCTTTGAATTCATTCTATTGAGAATATATGATAACAAGGAAAACATTTTACAACAGAAGAACTCTTTCCGAATGATTTCAAACTGACAGTGTAGTTGTCACAGTTTTCGAAACAAACATATAAAACAATTTCGAAAAAAATTTCAAACCATGTGTACCACCAGGAATGTATGACACGATATACCTGCAAGAAACAATCAGCTTCGGAAACATACGTATAAGAAAAATGTTCCTTACCAAACAAGAGCACCAATTTGAAGAATGGCGAAGACGATTGTGAATAAATAACTTTTAACCTACAGATAAATCAAATCGTAAAAAATCGAGCCAGGTGGCGGGTGCTAGCCGCCATGCCTTGCCTGGTGTTATCGTATCGGTCCGAAGACCTTCCGTCCTTGTCAAGGGGAGTGCTAACCGTCTCTCCTTTTCTACGACACGAAACTTATTCTCCTCAATGATTTCTTCTATACTGAACTTCATGCATAGAAAAACTGCGGTGAATGGCTATCATCAGCAACAAACGATAACTGGTGACATCTAATCAGGAAACGGAGGATTTCGGCACTTACCCAAACAGAATAATAGACTGTGCCCAAAAGTGTGACAAGATATGTAATTGAAAATGGCAGGCGTTCAACATTTGTCAGATGCTTGAAATGGTTTGTTGGTCCCCATAACATAGAAAAACTAAAAGGAAAGTAGTTTATAGCTCATTGTCTTATATAGGAAAAACTGATCATACCTCGACAGAAAAAATAAACTTCCAAATGAAAAGAGCACTGCAAATTTCCGTGCTTTCAGTACAATTACTGGAATATACAATGTAGCTAAGCACATACAAAGTATTCCCATTGTCAGGCACATCATAAAACCAAGAATACGTTGTTTACGACTCTAAAACAAGCAGCTGTTATCATCTTCCATAAGCTGTCAAAAGAACTCTTACTAGTGTCGGTAGAATTGGATCATTATCACCTTTTTGCAACAAATTCTGCATGTCATCCGTACTTGATGAAGACGATAATGCCGCTTCCGAACGTTTATTAAAAAAGCTTTGTACGCGATTTACATTGGTTTGAAACAAATCTTTCGAAAAGATCGCTTGTGACCATGATTGCGCGTTGTCGTGACTCACGGTCATACTCGAGCTCGTATTCAATTCATCAGCAAAGTTTTTCAAGCGAGAAAATTTCGCGTCCATCTACAAAAGTTTATAATGATCTTTCTTCCAACAAGAACAACATCCAGTCGATATGTTTCTACTCATAAAAATTTTTTTATTGAAAAGATGGGTATAAGAGATCAAGAGGGACGAAAAACATGACAGAAAAAAAGAGAGAGAGAAAGAGAAGTTCGATAACGTATACATAAGATATTGATCGTATAAATATGAACAACTGCATTCCACACAGAAAAGAGAAAAAGAATGAAAATTAAAAGATACTGTCTTTCGATTTCTTTTGCGTCTTTTGTTTTCTCGAAATAACTCGGTAGCACATCAAAAGGAATGCAACACATTAATACTTGACAGGCACTTCAACTGTATGAACAATTGACTGTATTCAGATCTTGCTTTTCTTTTTTTTTCAGATAAACGACTAGAAATTTAAAAGAAAAAGAAGAAAAAAAACCGATGTTGTTTGACTATAAACTGACTATTTTGATTTTACAGCTCACAGAATATTAATAGTAATAAATCATCACCACCACCACGAATATGTATATATATATATATATGTAAATACGTGTACACATACATGCGCCACTGTTCAAAAAGAGAAAAATTTTCAAGAGAAGATGACAACACCGAAGAAAAAAAAAGTCACCGAAGAACAAGAGGAAAAAATGATTTGAGAAATAGAACTGTACAAACAGAATTAGATATATCAGTGAAAGATGGTATAAGAAATTGAATGCTGAATGTTCGTGTGTTTTTGTTTTTTAGTTGACTATATTTTATCATTATACGGAAGATGATGGAAATCGTGCCATTGGTGTTTCATCTTGGTAATTGACACTATATTCGAGCATCTAGATGAGGAAATATGAGACAATCAAAGTTCGAGAGGTTTTCCTTGATTGGAAATCTCAATTTCTTTTGCCATTTTCATATCATTCGTGACATTTGCGTAGAATTAATATACAACTCACGAAACCACATTCTCATTTTGTTTTCTTCCGGTAAAATTTCCGAAAAGAAAAAGAAGAAATAGAATGTTGCCCTCGAAGAATTCCAATAGACAAAGAACAGGATGTTATGTGTCAGTTGTCTCTCAAGATTTATTTGATTTTGGATCGAGTTCGTCACTTCTCTAAACATCGGCCAACAATTCTCTCATCGACTCGCTTACCATAATATACAAAGCACATATCATTTTCATATTTTTGTAATACGATTATTCCTGTTCTATTCGTGAATAGACTTTCTGTCTTTTCTTCGGATAATCCGATTAAATAACTAGTCGAGGAAAAGAGAAATATTGTTCATACCTTGTCGATCTCGGCGAGCAGCGTAGTCTTTTGTGTTTCATGTGATTTCGTAAGATTATCTTTTTCTCGTTCATGTTTCATTGTCTGACGTTTTCGTTCTTCAACAAATTTCTTCGTATTATTCGATTTCAATTCACGTACACGACGATCCAGTTCCATCTTATTGCGAATATTCTTCTCGGAACCAAGTCGTTTACTATCTTCAATAT